TAGGCTGGATCTGGCCCCCGGGCCTTAGGTTGCCTACCTCTGCCCTACCCCCTGTGCCCATTTAATCATTACTGATTTCACTTCTTCATCTTTAATTTCCCATTCCGCCCTTTTCATTCCTCTTCAGCTTCTGGGAGGCCAAGGTGGAGGGGAGCTTGTAGCAGTAGGAGAGGGAGACACCCGGGGCTCTTCACCAGCCTGAATCATCTCTGCCTCTTGGTTTCCCTCTTTTCACTCTCCTGCTTCAGCTTTTGCCTCTGATTCTGGACTTCCCTCTGACACGGACTCTCCCAGCTCACTAAGCCCCGTTACCTCTTCAGCTTCTGACACCTCCTCTTCCCAGTATGCTCCCTTTTCTCCCTCTGGCCACTCATCATCGTCCCACCACCATTCCTGGGCTCTGAGCCTTCTTCCCTTGGTGCTTCCCCAGCTGGTTCCTCCCACCATTCCTCTGCGTCCAACCAGTCCATGACGCAGTTGCAATCTCACTGATGGCTTGGCTGGTGCCCATTGGGACTGTTAGGGCAGGAAGGTCAATAACAGGTGGAGTCAGAGCCAACTCGTTATAACTATGACCCCCATCCTCTTCCCCGATGAGCTCTGCAAAGGCACCCACAGAGGCCAGAGGCAGTAAGAAGGCAGGCAGGTGGGAACTGGCTGAGATTGGTGGGTCTAATCCTTGTTGGCCCTGCCTCTCCTGCACAATCCTCATTTCCCGCCCCCTCCACCTGTTCCAGTAACACCTGAGAAGAACTGCAGTGATTTGTGAAGACTTCAGACCCTCAGCAGAGCCTGAAAATGGGATGAATGACCTCTTCACCCACCAAACTGACCACCTCCGTCGATGATAGTGGTGGCCACATTAAAATCTAATTGCCTCCACGTTGGAATTGTGACCGAATTCCAAGGTCAGCTGGTGAATTTTCTCGCTCCCACCCCCATTGGCTTCATCTGTTGTGACATGTGGATTTCTTTGCTCTCTCACACACTGATAATTCCATGTACCCTTTTTTGATAATAAGATGGAGCATTGAGGAATATCTTTTTGAATCAATCAAAAGCAAACTCCACATAAAACGCAAGCTGTTCCCTTTGTGGTTAATTTTCATCCAGCTGCACTTAACTACTGATGGAGCCAGCAGAGAAAACTACTTGGCAACATTTCCTAATTAGGGGACGTTAATTACTGCTAAATACTATACAATTTCAATGTTAGAAGAGTTCATCTCCATCAATGTTATTACAGTACTAAAGGAATTAATAATGATTTCAGACTTGGAAACTGTTGCCAAAGTACCCATTAGTTCAGAGTTTTTAAAGTGGTTCAACAATGCAGTTTCAATATATGCACTTCACAAAAGGCTCGGAGCCAGTCATTCTCTGTGCTTCTGTCAGACAGTGAGAGAAGCCTGCAACCCTGGATTTGACAAATTATTTCAAATAAATATGTGAACTTCAGCCTCTCTTGCCTCTGTAAACCTCTCATGTACGCTATTGTCTCTTTCTTCCCCAATCAAAATCCTTCCTGCGGTCTTTTCCTTACTTCGCTAGATCCAACTCTCCTTTCCTAGGTCAAATGCTTTCTTTCAGCCAGTGCATCCCAGAATGCACCTCTCAGGTGGGTGCCATTGAAGGCCGGTGCTCCCAGTGACGGAAGAAGCCTCTCCGGCACTTGGGGGGTGCTGAGGGGCGGGGCGAACTGCCCAGAGGCGCCAGTATGGATTGCACATGTGTGGCGCCCATATGGACTGTGCATGTGTAGCAGGCTGTAAGACGCTGTGCGTGCCCTCGGCCACTCTACAGCTGGGGGGGAGGCAGCGGGCCATCTTGTCACACCCCCAGGGTGGCACCTGGGACGGATCACCCCCTGGGCGCTCCCCCACCTGGCTTCTTGCCTTTATGCACTTCCAAAAAGCCCAAAACAAACATTTCAAGTCAAAACGGAAGCCGGCCAACATGTGTGAGGCTTCACTTTGTTTTCAGATCTTTGATTCCACCTAGCTCCCAGCCACAATTGACCAAACTATGGGGCAGGACCTATTCATATTTCCATTTCTTCAATGTCTCCCATGTAGGAGAGTTCCGGCACCTGTTTTTCTTGGGGGGAAAGCACTGCCTAGGACTTTTCATCTGAGGCCAACTCCAGATTTAATGTGGCCTTCACAAAGTGCCCTCAGTGGACCATCTCTAGGTTCATGGACCTTCACGAGTTTACCTAGCAGCTGTAACGGGCTGCTACAAACTGCCATTTCAAATTTCCCACAATGCCCCACAGCAGTGCACCATATGAAATTGTAAAAAGTGGAGTTGCTGATGAGAGGGTGTGTGATAATGCACACAACCTGCTATATAAAGCCTTGGAGAATCAGACAGAAGATCTGTCAAATCTAAGCATCATGTTCTGAGCAGTAGCTGACCAGATGCCTCCACAAGGGCTGGGGGAGACATTGGGGTTGGTTTGCAAATTCAGTTCTCCAAAGGCTGTGATGCAGTTCACCATCCAGAAGTTGTGTACAAAAATGCATAAATTGAAGGGAAAGTGTGCATAAAAATGAATGCAGTGAAACAAACACACAATTGCATTGTATTTGTGTAAGTTGCAAACAAAAATGCTGATGAATTTATGCGAGGATGTTCTTGAGGTTAAGACTGATCACAACCTGATGTGGAAATGTGGCAAGCTGAACTTTAGCTTGGGAAAACACAAGGGTGCCAACTTGAATAAAAAATGGGGGGGGGGGGAGTAAGCCCCACCCTGCATAATCGATCACATGACGCAGCACGGACTCACTATTTAAAGGGCGACACCCACCAACTTTAGGGAGTCCCCCTCCACCCCCTTGGAGTTGGCTCCTATGTGCCGAGAGAAACAAAAAAATGGCAGATTTGTCTATCCCTGGGCTCTTTGATGCTCCAAATCAATCCATGTAGGGAAAGGTCCCAACTAGTATACAGCATATGAATATGGAGGTTCAATATAGCTGTTATGGCCAGTTTTTGATAAGACGTCTTCTTGGGAAACAGGGTCCCTCCAGATGTTGCCAAACTACAATGCCCATCCTCCCTGACCATGAGCTATGGGGCAGGGATGGGGGCTGTGGTCTAACTTGTTCACTATGTGTGCAAGACGCCATGGGTTTTCTTATGGGATGTGTGAAAAAGTTCTCCATTTTGTCGGCCCTGAATCTACTGTCCAATCAGCTTCTTTGGAGGACCTCAAAGAGGGAGCAGAAACCTCTACCCATTTTCTCCATGCCATGATTACTTCTATAAAACTCCATCCTGTGTCTGCCCACAAACATCTTTGATGACCCTTTTCCCCACCACCTCTAAAGCCCAAAGTCCCAAATTCTGCGGCTGTCATTCAAAAGCTTTCTCCAACCTCCCGATCACTTTCCTTGTCCTTTTCAAGCTTGACAACCCCCGTCTTTGAGGTGGAATGACCATAACTGTGTATAAGTAAAGGTAAAGGGACCCCTGACCATTAGGTCCAGTCACGGACGACTCTGGGGTTGGGGCGCTCATCTCGCTTTACTGGCCGAGGGAACCGGCATACAGCTTCTGGGTCATGTGTCCAGCATGACTAAGCCGCTTCTGGAGAACCAGAGCAGCGCACGAAAACGCCGTTTACCTTCCCGCCGGAGCGGTACCTATTTATCTACTTGCACTTTGATGTGTTTTCGAACTGCTAGGTTGGCAGGAGCTGGGACAGAACAACGGGAGCTCACCCCGTCATGGGGATTTGAACCACCGACCTTCTGATCGGCAAGCCCTAGGCTTTGTGGTTTAACCCACAGCGCCACCCGCATCCCATAACTGTTCCAATCCTCTCTTCTAATAATCCCTAGCAATGAATCTGCCTTTCTCCCAGCTAATGTACCAAACAGTAACAGCTAGCCTAAAATCTCATATAGGACACAAACAGAATTTTTCTCCTTCTATGCGAGTTTAGAGCAGCCAGGATATTAGCTCAAATGGCCATTAGGCATTTTAAACACGGTGTCCTTTTGTACAGTTAGAATCCTCTTGGTTCTCATCTGCCCTATTAAAGAATTGACCAGATGGAGATTTTCCTCCCCTTCTCTCCCCCCCCCCCAGCAAATCCTCATCTTTTTTTTCTGCACAGGTTGTATTTAATTAAAAATGATTCTTCCTTTTAATCCTACCCCTGACATTTTATCTATCATCCAGATGTTACCACTGATCATTTCAGCACAGAATCAGCAGGATAAAACTTACTTCTATTCTCTGAAGGAGGGGGGGGGGGAGGAAACCAAAGTTACAACTGAGCAAATTAAGTTATGGAGGTAGCTTCTTCTGTTCCAGTCCTCCTCAAAGTTATGAAGAGCCAGGCTTTATGGATCAACTTGGCTGACATGAGTGGATGGGGGGGGGGCGAGGAGAAGCAATACTTGGGGAGAAGGAAAGTTATTACCCCCAAAACTGAGATTTATCTACTAAGGATGTCAGAGCCCAGCTGAAGCCCATGAGCCTGATATTAGGGGCTGCTGCTTCTCGGTTAGGGTGGCAGATTTCCAGCTTGTCTGATCTACTCTGGTTTTCACTAGAACCCCAAGAACTACCATTCAGGGCCAGATACAAAAGGCAAATAGCGAAAATAATAATAAAACAAAGACCAGGATGCCTCCCGAGTGCTTTCTGAAGCCTAGGAATTTGTTTTCCATACCAGCGCAAAACTGAGCTCAGAAAGCTTTCAGACACAAGTCTGCTCCTGATTAGCTTTCTTCATGCCAGCAGAATTATTTAGATGCAGGAAGTCCTTTTACTGTTCCTGTTAAACTGGGAGTCAGGAATCCTTGTCAAGCTACTGCAGATCACTCAAGATCTGTACCCCAGATCTACCCATCTTCATCTCAAATTTGGGTCTCCAGCTGGACTACAACTCCCATCATCCCTGACCACTGGGGCTGCTAGCTGTTGGTGCATGAGCATCTACTCTTAGATTTTCTTTATATATATAATTTTTATTAGTTTTTTTTACATATCATTTTCAAATAATCAAACATACTTTTACATCTTATACAGTTTTTTTGACTTCCATCAATCACATCTGAAAATTTTCCAATCTAATCACTTAATATACATCTCTTACTTCCACTATTACCTTTAAATCTCATAACTAATCTCTCTTCTTTCTCTATTTGCAATATTTCATATATTTCTCCTTACAAAACTTCTTGTAGTCCTACTAGTGTAATTTGTTGATTACAATTGCTCTTCAAATAGTTCGTATAGTTCTTCCAATCTTCTTCAAATCTCTAGTCCTGCCAGTTTCAAATCCTTCCAGTCATTTTGTCTAATTCTGCATAGTCTGCCATTAATTTTGTCTGCCATTCTTCTTTCGTCGGAGTTTCCTACTCTTAGATTTTCATTTCTGTCTGCAGAAGATCTTTTAACAGCAGTTTCCTTGCATCTTTTACTTCTTTATAGCAGTAGCATTCCAGTTATCTCTTAGTGAAATTCCCACTACAGGAATAAACACCATTTGGTTCGGTTTCTCAGAGTCTTTATTATTTACAGAACTTTACATTGGTCATTAATAAAGGGAGGGGAAAGCAAATAAAGAAACATCATCTTTTTCTCTTTTTAGCCATCCAGCCAGAGACTCATTCACATACAGTGGTACCTCGGGTTAAGTACTTAATTCGTTTCGGAGGTCCGTACTTAACCTGAAACTGTTCTTAACCTGAAGCACCACTTTAGCTAATGGGGTCTCCTGCTGCTGCCGTGCCGCCGGAGCACGATTTCTGTTCTCATCCTGAAGCAAAGTTCTTAACCTGAAGCACTATTTCTGGGTTAGCGGAGTCTGAAACCTGAAGCGTCTGTAACCTGAAGCATATGTAACCCGAGGAACCACTGTACTCATTTACACTGACCCAGACTTAATTGATTGCATGCCCTGATAAGGACACCTGTTGCTGGGGAAAATTTCCATTGCCTAGCAACTTGTCCAAAGCCATTTACAAGTTTCTTCTAGAATATTCCAACACTAGCTAGGTTTGATGGGAGTTGTAATCCAACAATAGCTGGAGACCCAAGTTTTGAGAAACACTGTTCTGGGCAGTACTGAAATCATGCACCCCTCTTTTTTAAAAAGCAAGCCAAACATTTCTTTTTGAGTCGGCAGTTCCACGCAATGGTGGCAGTGGGAACTGGAAGTCTAAGAGAGAAAATGGAAAAAATCTGAAGTCTGCCCAGCGCCTGAGCCCCACTTCCTTCCCCAGCAGAAGGCAGCAACAAAATAAGGCACAAAGCTCGTGGTGGCCTGATCTTTAGAAAGGTAGCGATTATTTTTAGTTAAATCGCGTGCGCACGGTAATTAATCTCAAGCGAAATGGGAGAACAATCCCTGCACAGAATTTTTTTTTTTATTTAAACATATGTTCTTAAAATGTCAAGCAATTTATTTCTGCAAAGTTAGAACTTGAGACAAGATTTCATAAAATATAATCCCATCCTTTTAAAAAAAAAACCACCAGAGGCTCAGATTGTGTAACGATTTTTTACAGTATTTGTACACGATTCCTCCCTCCATCAGCCTACAAAGAATTAAAAGGACTTTAAAAGCAAATGGGAAATTTGTGGACAGGTCTGCGTACTGCAGTTCTGTTGATTTCCTGTGTGTGCAACGCTCTCTGCAAAAGCAGGAGAGGTTTCCAGCTCAAGAGAAGGTGGTGTCGCTTGCATGCCTGTCAGGATCGCTCATTCAGAAAAATCTCCCAAATATCTCAATGAATGGGGAAGCTGCAGCCCTTTACCTGTGCTCCAGAATCACTGGGCTCAGCTCCAAGGCATGTGCTTGTAGACTCTTGCATAAGGGTGCAGCTGAGGTTTAGTTATGGGTTTAGCAGCCCGCAAATGCCATGCACCCTGCTGGATCTCAAAAAAGTAGTGTATCCTGTACAATGTGCAGTACAGTAGGTTGCAATCCAGACAGACAGACAGACACACACACAGAGAGAGAGAGAGAGAGAGAGAGAGAGAGAGAGAGAGAGAGAGAGAGAGGGGGAAGGAAGGAAGGAAGGAAGGAAGGAAGGAAGGAAGGAAGGAAGGAAGGAAGGAAGGAAGGACACATTGCAAGATGCATGTCTGTGTCTGTGTAGGGGAGTGAGGCAAATTGTTGAAGCCCTAACAAGCTCAAGATGACAATAATTCAACCATCCATGGCTCTGTTTTTCAGCACATTGTGGGATACAGCAGCCTTCCCCAACCCAGTGCTCTCCAGATGTTCTAAGACTCCAACTCCCATCATTCCCAGCATGCATGGCCAATGGTGAAGGATGATGGGAGTTGTAGTCCAAGGCACTTGGAAGACCTGAGGCTGATTTAGATCCGTATAAACCAATCTCTTTTTGTTCTTGTTTAGACTAACAACACCTCCCCAGCTCCCACTGAATACATCAAAAGTTGCTTCTGAGATTCTGGAGGCTTTCAGATATCACTTGCAATTCAGTTTAGGTGGCAGGTGGGCGTAAATAAGAGCTTCTTCTTTTTAATGCCCATTGTTTGCATTATTTTGTGAACAGACCTGAAGCCTGCAGCCCAGCTTTAGAGAAGGGGCAGGAAGTCTCAGATATCTGGCTCTCAAAAGAGCCTGCAACAGTGTCCATCCTGATATTGGAGACCATGTTATAGTTTATTTCGGTGCCTATGTAATGGGGAAGCAGGGTTGGGTGGGAAACACCAGTACAAAAAACAAACCCATTAATACAAAATTTGCACTAAATCAATCATTTGATCATCTCTTTGCCCCTCTCCCCTCCCACTGGTATTAATGTTGCAGTGAATGAGGCACAGCAAAATTGACCTGGAAAAACCTTCAAAATCCAGAATTTCTCTTATAATCATGAGCACTTGTCCAGCTTGGTGAAAAAGTGAGCCCCTTTCCCTTTAATCCTTTCCCAAGCACATCTTGGACTTGTTTGCAGGAAAGGATTCCAGGACGTTGCTTGCTTACGCCTCTTCTGTGTATCCCCTTTTTCTTCTTTTTCCTTCTTTCTCTTTCATATCACGAATTAGTCACCGGTCTAAGCCATAGGCAGGTCATAGGAAGCTGCGTATCTGCCGGTCACATGGTGGTAAATCTGCAGAGTGGGAGGAGGGCAGTTGGGGAGGAAACGAGTTTACCGGAGCAGCAATGGAAAAGATGAAATTAAACAGGTGTAACAAAGCTGACAAATTAAGGGCAGGTTAACAAGAAGGCGGATGCCATTTATAAACTTTTAATTACTCGCACCGATAAAAATAGCACAAGTTTTCTGAAGACATCTCCTTTGAGCACAAAATACACAAGATGATCTCATTCTGTCCTGTTCTTTGCTCTGTATTTTATTTATTTGGCAAATTTTGTGCGCCGCTCCTCTCCAAAAAACAGAAGCACACATGGGGCTCATTTAACATTGCCCTGCAATGCAGGCCAAGCCAGGAGTGTGTGGCTTACCTGAAACCACATAGGAGGGCTTTGTGGCCAAGTGGGTCTAGCCACTCCACCTCACTGGCTCTTTCCAGGGAGAAAGATGTGGAAAGTGCCATTTGTGTTTGGGTCCTGCCAAATTGGCGGGTGAATCACCTTTCATTGGGCCCAATGCATTTTGGAATAAGCACAATTTTTCAAGCTTGATCTGAAACCACTGCTCCACCTTGACTTATTCTAAAAACTGCATTGGGCCTAATACATCTGTGTCCCGAGAAGTTCTCTCCTTTCCCCTTTATGTGACTGTTGCCTTCCCGTTTACATTTTTCGCACATCCGAATCCTTCTCCCAGAGCAACTCTCGTGACTGTGCCATCAATATGATAAGCCAAAGCAGTGGCAAAGTTACTTGGGGCTGATGCACTTACTCAAACCCGAAATATCGCAAAGCATGTGGGGTGTGAAGGATCAGCCATCGCAGTCAGTCCTGGGGCTTGCCCCCCTACCCCAGGAAGTCTTCCGCTTCGCACATTACATGCTTCCAGTGGTGGTTGCAAAAAAAACCCCCTATTCCTCTCAGAGAGCTACAATTCCCAGAATGGTTTAGCAAATCAATCCCTCCCTTCCCAGGGAACACTGGGAATCGTAGCTTTGTGAGAGGAAATAGGGGTCTCCTAACAACACACTTAAGGGACGCGGGTGGCACTGTGGGTTAAACCACAGAGCCTAGGACTTGCTGATCAGAAGGTCGGCGACGGGGTGAGCTCCCATTGCTTGGTCCCAGCTCCTGCCAACCTAGCAGTTCAAAAACACCTCAAAGTGCAAGTAGATAAATAGGTACCGCTCCGGCGGGAAGGTAAACGGCATTTCCGTGCGCTGCTCTGGTTGCCAGAAGTGGCTTAGTCATGCTGGCCACATGACCTGGAAGCTGTACACCAGCTCCTTCGGCCAATAAAGCGAGATGAGTGCCGCAACCCCAGAGTCAGCTACGACTGGACCTAATGGTCAGGGGTCCCTTTACCTTTTAACAACACACTTAACAAAATAATACTTCCCAGGATTGTTTGGGGGAAGTTGTGGCTCTTAAAAGTGGCACGATACTGCTTTAAATGGTGGCCTTAGTTGGGTAGAGTTTGGTGCTGATAGAGCCCACGGTTGTAGGTTCGATCCCCATATGGAACAGCTGCATATTTCTGCATTGCAGGAAGGTGATCCTTGGGGTCTCTTCCAACTCTACAATTCTATGATCCACACACACATTTGGCAACAGATTTTTATTTTTTAAAAAGGAAAATAGGAAAGTGCCCTACACTGAGTCAGGCTGCTTGTCCATCTAGCCTAGAGTTGTCAACTTTGACTGGCAGTGGCTCTCCAGGATGCTAAGCGAGGGCCTTTCCCATTGCTTAGCTGGAGAGTGTGTGGGGCTTGGTAGGCAGAAAAGTTCAGGTTCCATCTCCCCTATCTCCATTTAAAAAGATCAGGTGGTGGTTGGTGGGGAATAGACCTAATAATAATAATATAATAATTTATTTCTTATACCCCGCCCATCTGGCTGGGTTTCCCCAGCCACTCTGGGCGGCTTCCAACACAATATTAAAATACAGTCATGCCCCAAACATTAAAAGCTTCCCTAAACCTAAGATCTGTGAGAGCTGCTTCCAGCCAGAGTCGACAATATTGGGTTTGATGGCTTCTGCTATTCCATCATCTGCTACCTGGGGTTTTTTTAATGGAGATGTCAGGGATTAAACCCGGGACCTTCTGCATGCAGTGCAAGTGCTCTCCCTTCGAGCTCTCGGTCTTCTCCATTAAAAGCCTTCCAGCACTTGAAATAAATTAATAAAGCTGTGGATAGAGGAAAGGGGGGGAGGAGATGGCAAGAGAGGCCAAGACTTATGCTGCTTGTCTGGGGTCTCTTGAAAAGCAGATGGTGGGAACTGAACCTGTGGCATCACAAATGCACAGCGCAAGATCTACCCATGGGTTATTCCTATACGATGGCTAACATGGTACAAAATGAACATATTACTTCTGTGCAGAACCACCTTGCCTCCCCAAATGAGGTGGATCAGAACTAATTGGTAAACACCGCCAATTAAAAAGCAAGGCTCCGTTATAAGCAGCAGTGTAAGAAAATGAAAGCTCTCAAAAGGCAATTTTTAAAGTCTGTACAGTCATACCTCTTGCTGCGTTTGCTTCAGGTTAAACCTTTTCAGGCTGTGTCCTGCGGCAACCCGGAAGTACCGCAAAGGGTTCGCCACTTGCACATGCGCAGACTCTCAAAATGACACCACGCGCATGGCCAGAAGCAGCGAATCGCAACCTTCGCATGCGCAGACGCGGGTTGCGTTCTGCTCATGTTGCGAACGGGGCTCCGGAACAGATCCCGTTCGCAACCAGAGGTACCACTGTACTACAAAAGTCAAAACCACATGGTTTTTTATGGGGGGGGGATAATACACCATTAGGAGGAATAACAACCTTAAAAATGTAGTGTAAATGCCAACAGCTGGGAAACACTGGCCTGTGAGCTCTCCAATTGGAGAACAGCCTTTACCAAAGGTGTCATGGGCTTTGAAGACGCTGAAACTCAGGATGCAAGGGAAAAACATGCTAAGAGGAAGACACGCTGGGCAAACCCTCATCATGATCAACTCCCGCCCAGAAACTTATTTCCCCACTGTGGAAGGACATGTGAATCCAGAATCACGATCACTTACAGACTTTCTGTTAAAACCGTGTTCATGGAAGACAATCTTACTCGGCTACAAGTTTTCTCCAAAGAAGAAGAAGTAGGAATACTAACCTGTCTCTCAATATCTCCCAGCAAAGTGCTGGCCCCCAGACGAAAGAGTTCCGGCTTTAGCCACTCATCTCCTAGTTCTTCCTTCATCAGCGAGAGCCAGATCAGGGCATCTTTGGCCGTGCGAATGCCTCCCGCAGGCTTAAAGCCAACCTTGATTGAAGAAAGAAGAACAGGAAGCAGGAAATTTAAAAATACAGAAAGTTGGCCTAGATAGGAATCTGCATATCTGTATACAATATCCGTATGATGCTATCCTGCCCCCACTGGAGACTCTGTCTACATGCCCCCCAGTAATATTTAGAAGGCTGACAAGCTCAAGAGATGTGGCCTCATCTGTGGTGGGCTCTCATTTATGGAACTCGCTTCTATATGAATTCCCTACTTAGCCCCTTTTGGTTCAGGCATTTATATCCTATGATTTTTATTCAGCTCTGTAAAAGCGTAACACATACCTTGGAAGTCGAATGGAATCCATTCTGGAAGTCCATTTGACTTCCAAAACGTTCGAGAATCAAGGCGCAGCTTCCGATTGGCTGCAGGAAGCTCCAGCAGCCAATCGGAAGACGCAGCGGACGTTTGGGTTCCAAAGAACGTTTGCAAACCAGAACAATCACTTCCGGGTTTGCAGAGTTCAGGAGCCAAAACTTTTGTCATGCAAGGCGTTCGGGATCCAAGGTACGACTGTATTTAAAAAGAAACAGAAAATGGATAGTACCGCATTCATAATTTGGTATTTCAGCATCTGGGGGATCACAGACTCCCTGTCTCTGCTATACACAGGGCCGCAACAGCTCTCTAGCTTGTCCGCCTTACTTTTCCCCAAACACAGCTCCTCTCTGTGACCTTTCCTCAAGGGGAGGGCCATAGGCTCAGTGGGCAAACATCTGTTTTACATGCACAAGGTTCCAGGTTCAATCCCCTACATGAAACCCCAGAGTTCCTGCAAATCAGTGTATGCACTGAGCTAGATGGACCAATGGTCTGACTCTGTGTCAGGCAGTTTCATATAATGTATAGGAGACTCCTCCTCATGTTCCCACAACTTTCAGGAATGCACCAAGAAGTGGGCCTCAGAAGCACCGATATATAAACAGTAGCTCTATCTGCGACCCTCTGGATTCTGGCTGCCATCTTGGGTTTGGTTTCTTTTAGTTAAAACATTCATGTTCCCCCACAAATAATTACATTTATTTTCACCCAAAGCTACCTATTACTATCCTGTCTCTCATTCTGTTTGCCGACTTTCTACAGAATCCATCTGACTGCCAGAATGCACCACACACACACACATATATATCTATATATAATAAATGTTTCATTCAAGAGCTGAAAAAGTCGGGCTACTTTCCCCCTGCTGTTTCACAGCATTTCATTATTTTGTTTAATAAGTTCATCTCCTTGAGAATTTTTTCTCGTCACCTTATATTATTAAAAGTAATAAGTTTCTCTGGACTGGGGGATTTCCCAACAGAAAAACCAATTTGTGTGTGTCCTTCAATAATGACAGGAAAAGATTATTTCCCATTATGCTGCACACTTTTCATATCACCGCTGCAGCTTATCATTCAATAAATGTTACCCTGCAACCCGCTTCTGTCCTCGGAAGAAGTTTAATTTCTACATTAACCTGTTTTTATTGGCCAACGCCTTGTTGGAAAAGCATCTGTACGGCAGCCAAATTGGTTTGTTAAGGAAACCATTTAGAAATCTCTCGTCAGTGATAAAATTGTCTTCGTTTAATAAAAAGGATATAAACTCAGTTTACATCTAATTTTTTTATTATTATTTCCTGAGCAGGTGCACGCACCACACACTTTTGGTTAATAGAACTTTAAGCACACACACACATCATAAAGTCTGCTTAAATGAACGATAAATTAAACAGTTATTTTAATGACATGCAAAACCTCCACGGAGGCAAGGCGAAGGACCAAATTACATGTGCTACCACCACCAATTACCACAGAGCCTTGAGACAATACACAATAGTTGCCACAGCAGCACAATACAAAAGATGGGGCCTTCTATGAGGTGCCCAAGTATCTGTCAAAGGAGCCAGGTGCGTGTTTATATGCCAATGCTGGCAGCAGCAGGAGTCAGCATTATTGGCATGTGATGAGGTCCATCCCCAAGCGGAAGGGCTGGGTCATGACCCTGGGGTCACATTTCCCATCTTCAGGGGAGGAGACCAAGGATTCGACTGAGGCAGATCTGCTCCTCTTATTTGAGGTTCGGTCAGACAGTGACTGCTGCTGAAACAACATTCCTGCTCTGCTCATTACTGAGCCCTGCATGGAGCTGTCCAGGGTACCAATGAAGCCTCGCTTCTGCACTGCTGAGCCCATTGTTCAACAAGGAAGAACAGCCCAAAAGCAGACATCTGGAGTCCCCTGCCCCTTCTGCTCCACCTCTTGGCTGCCCCAGCCTGTTCACCTGCTATTTCTCCAAGTAAGAGCACAGCGACAGGAGCAAAGAGGAGCCTGCCACACCCTCTCCCTCAGCAGCACTGAGGAGGACGCAGGCCTGTTCCAAGAGCAGGGCGTACCGAGGACATCTTGCACAGAGATTCCCTCAAACCCAGTGTCAGATATCAAGGTGGTGGTGCTCTCACCATGCTGACTGAAGAATTGTGAGAACATTTCTCCACCACCACCCCAAAACATGTTTCAAGTGAAACTCAGAGCAGTGGCCATTGAATAAAAGGCTGAAGGAAAGGGGTGTGATGTCCCTAGTGGAGAGGTGGTTCTCTTGCAAGAATCAGAAAGGAAGTACAGGATGACACAGCCAGGTTATACCCACTGCCAAACTCATACACATACATATTCCACATACACATGACCAGAAAACAAGCCGCACCAGCAACAAAATGTTGCTGCATAGAATGCTCTTCTACAAACTCTGCAATCATGCTATTTCCCATTCTATCCCCGCTCCTGACTACTTTTCCACCCCATCAGTCAGTCAGCGTTCAGTGGCCACCAAGCACACACAGTCCTCATCGGGGTGTTTCCAGGGTTCGCAACCTTCGTTGTTGTAGTACCGTATTTTTCGCACCATAGGACGCACCGGACAATAGGACGCACTTTGTTTTAGAGGGGGGAGAACAAGGAAAAAATTCTCCCCTCTCTGCCCAGCGCCCCTTCAGCGAAGTGGCAGGAGCGCTGTGCAGAGAGGAGAACTTTCCCCCTCTTGTTTTCCAGCTCTAAAACAAGGTGGCGGCTACCTTTGAAGCCTGGAGAGCGAGAGGGTCGGTGTGCACTGACCCTCTCGCTCTCCAGGCTTCAGGTTCCTTCGACCTGCTCTTTGGGGCTGGCGGGGAAGCCCACCACCAGCCCCAAAGAGCAGTTCAGAGAGCAGCGGAAAGGCGCAGCGGAGAGGCTCCTGCCATAGCCGTGCGTCACCTCTCCAGCCGGGAGAGGGTCGCTGGGCTATGGCTGCTTAGCCCTGCGCGCTCTCCCGGCTGGAGAGGTGACGGGCAGCTATGGCGCGTCACCTCTCCAGCCGGGAAGGGTCACGGGGGCTGCTTTAGCCCCGCGCGCTCTCCCGGCTGGAGAGGTGACGGGCGGCTATGTCGCGTCACCTCTCCAGCCAGGAGAGGGTCACGGGGGCTGCTTTAGCCCGCGCGCGCTCTCCCGGCTGGAGAGGTGACGGGCGGCTATGGCAAGAGCCTCAATAGCCGCCCGTCACCTCTCCAGCCGGGAGAGGGTCACGGGGCTGCTAGCCCGCGCGCTCTCCCGGCTGGAGAGGTGACGGGCGGCTATGGCGCATCACCTCTCCAGCCGGGAGGGTCACGAGGGCTGCTTTAGCCCGCGCGCTCTCCCGGCTGGAGAGGTGACGGGCGGCTATGTCGCGTCACCTCTCCAGCCAGGAGAGGGTCACGGGGCTGCTAGCCGCGCGGCTCTCCGGCTGGAGAGGTGACGGGCAGCTGGCAAGAGCCTCAGCCGCGGCACCTCTCCAGCCGGAGGCAGGGCTGCTAGCCCGCGCGCTCCCGGCTGGAGAGGTGACGGGCGGCTCTGTCGCCTCACCTCACCAGCCAGGAGAGGGTCACGGGGGGCTGCTTTAGCCCCGCGCGCGCTCTCCCGGCTGGAGAGGTGACGGGCGGCTATGGAAAGACCCTCAATAGCCGCCCGTCACCTCTCCAGCCGGGAGAGGTCACGGGGGCTGCTTTAGCCCGCGCGCTCTCCCGGCTGGAGAGGTGTCAGGCGGCTATGGCGCGTCACCTCTCCAGCCAGGAGAGGGTCACGGGGGGGCTGCTTTAGCCCCGCGCGCGCGCTCTCCCGGCTGGAGAGGTGACGGGCGGCTATGGCAAGAGCCTCAATAGCCGCCCGTCCCCTCTCCAGCCGGGAGAGGGTCGCGGGGGGCTGCTTTAGCCCCGCGCGCGCTCTCCCGGCTGGAGAGGTGACGGGCGGCTATGTCGCGTCACCTCTCCAGCCGGGAGAGGGTCACGGGGGGCTGCTTTAGCCCCGCGCGCGCTCTCCCGGCTGGAGAGGTGACGGGCGGCTATGGCGCGTCACCTCTCCAGCCAGGAGAGGGTCACGGGGGGGCTGCTTTAGCCCCGCGCGCGCTCTCCCGGCTGGAGAGGTGACGGGCGGCTATGTCGCGTCACCACTCCAGCCCGGAGAGGGTCACGGGGGCTGCTTAGCCCACGCGCGCTCTCCGGCTGGAGAGGTGACGGGCGGCTATGGCAAGAGCCTCAGCAGCCGCCCGTCACCTCTCCAGCCGAGAGGGTCACGGGAGCTGCTTTAGCCCGCGCGCGCTCTCCCGGCTGGAGAGGTGACGGGCGGCTATGTCGCGTCACCTCTCCAGCCAGGAGAGGGTCACGGGGGCTGCTTTAGCCCGCGCGCTCTCCCGGCTGGAGAGGTGACGGGCGGCTATGGCAAGAGCCTCAACTAGCCGCCCGTCACCTCTCCAGCCGGAGAGGGTCACGGGGGCTGCTTTGGCCCACGCGCGCTCTCCCGGCTGGAGAGGTGACGGGCGGCTATGGCAAGAGCCTCAGCTAGCCGCGCGTCACCTCTCCAGCCGGGAGAGGGTCGCGAGGTGCTTCTTTGGCCCCGCGCGCTCTCCCGGCTGGAGAGGTGACGCGCGGCTATAGAGCTCCTGCCATTGCCGCCCGTCACCTCTCCAGCCGGGAGAGGGTCGCGGGGCTATGGCGTCTTCGCTCCATAGGACGCACACACATTTTCCCTTCATTTTTGAGGGGAAAAAAGTGCGTCCTATAGAGCTAAAAATACGGTATTTTTCCTCCAAATGTATTTGTACTTCTGCAAGCCTCTGGGTTTTCCCAAAGCTACTAATACCACCCCCTTGTGGCCAGATCGTGCTGCTTTGGCTACATAAGTCAAGAGAATGAGTTTTCTATTAGAATACAAGATTGGAGATATTTGCTTCTCATTCTTCCTATTCCCTATGAACTGTCTGTCTCTGGGCTTTCGTTCAGAAGGAGAAATTACTACAGCTCTGTGTCACAGACGGTCAGTGTGGTGTGGTGTATAACTTAGAGGAGTGTAGCTCAAACCTGGGTCCTGAGCTGTTGTTGGACTACAACTACAAATCTCTAGCTAGCACAACCAGTGGTCTGGGATGGTGGGAGTTGTAGTCCAACAACAGCTGGGGACCCAAGATTGAAGAAGAAGAAGAAGAAGAAGAAGAAGAAGAAGAAGAAGAGGAGGAGGAGGAGTTTGGATTTGATATCCCGCTTTATTACTTGAGGAGTCTCAAAGCGGCTAACAACCTTCTTTCCCTTCCTCCCCCACACTCTTGCGAGGTGAGTGGGGCTGAGAGACTTCAGAGAAGTGTGACTAGCCCAAGGTCACCTAGCAGCTGCATGTGGAGGAGCGGGGAAGTGAACCTGGTTCATCAGATTACGAGTCCACCGCTCTTAACCACTACACCACACTGGTGAGGAGACACCAGTTCAAATTCCCCACTCTGCCAGGAAGCTCACTTGGGTGACCTGGGTCTAGTCACCATCTTTCAGTCTAACCTTGCTTACAGGGTTGTCATGAGGAAAACAATGGGGGGGAGAAACAGTTTATGCCACCCATAGCACCTTGGTGGAGCGGCAGGATAAAAATGTAGTTAATACATAAGTCTGGCAGTTCAGAGACCCTAAAGCACGGATAGAGGAACCTGTAGCCTTCTGAATGTTGCTAGATCACAACTCTCATAATTCCCGACTGCTAGCCATGCTGGTTTGGGCTCATGGGACTTGGAGTCCAACGAAGTCTGGAGGGCCACAGGAAAGCTTTTAATGTTTGATGTTTTGCTGTGCTTATTGTTGGAAGCCACCCAGAGTGGCTTGGGCAACCCAGTCAGATGGGTGGCAACAATAATAATTATAATAATTAATTATAATAATTACAATAATTCCCCACCCATGGTCCAAAGCCTGCGCATCACACCAACATTGCTTTCGAGAACACAGTCTACAATGAAAAGATGGAGATGGTATGAAGTTACCTTATAGCCAGTTTTCCAGAAGAAGTCTCTAATAGCTCTCACCATGACTAGCCCAACGGGAAAGGTAGCATTAACGGTTTCTTTTCCTGTGGAAGTCTTGATAAAATCAGAACCTGCAAGGGTGAGAATAAAAAAGGAAAAAGTAATAAACAGATGTGTCAGCAAAATTATCATTCTGGTTCTTAGTATGTGGCAGATCCCGCTATCAGAATGCTCCTTAGCTGAAAATTCAGTTATCCAAACATAAAGAATTACGCCCAAACCTCGCTGGGCACACAGATGATTCAGATATCTGAACAGCCGGAGTTTGCCTACTTCCTTACTTGTTAGCTGGTTGACAGCCGACATTTTCGGGCAGGAACCACAGAGAGAGGGAACAGGGAGAGAGATCAGACAAATCAGTGAGCAGGAGAGATTGGACAAATCAATTTTCTCTCTTTTGCTGGTTGGCTGCAGCCATTTTTCAGATGAAACCATGGAGGGAGACCACAGATTAGAAATGCCCCCATAGGAAATGGTGGAAATTGAGGGCTCTTTGTGCAAACGCTGACCTAACAAACGATCTCCTGTGTTCAGAAAGCGAGAAGTCTGTGTACAATAAGCTTTAGATTTGTCATATGAATTTAACACCTTAACAAACTAGGAAAAGAAAGAAGTAGGAATTGGAATGTTCCCTTTTGTGGGTTTCCGACAGGCATCTAGTTGGCCAATGTGAGAAGAGGATGCTGGACTAGATAGGCCATTGGTCTCATCCAGCAGACTTGTCTTACATACTTAAATTTTACACTGTGGAGTGCTCCTGTTCAGAATCCCAGCCAGCCAGCCACACCTTTTTCAGGATACTCCATTCCACCCGGCCCTTGGCAATCCTTCAGGGCTGTTTTTGGATTCCCGATCCCAATTTCAGTATATTATCCTAAACACTTTTTAAAATTTTTAATTCTGAAAACCTTTGGGTTCCTGCAATTTTTTCCAGTATTTCCTTCTTGGCTAGCATACAGTGTCAGAAATGAATTTCAAGAGAAGAACATAGGAAGCTGCCTTATTACTAGGACAACCTATTCCAAAGGTCCACATGAGACTCTGGCTCAGTGGCGAAGGACAGCTTCTACATGTAAAAAGAAGCAATCCCCAAGCAGATGCCCTCCAGATGTTTTGGGCTACCATCATCCTGGCCATTGGCCATACTGGCTGGAACTGAATGAAGGGAAGGTCAAACTAACAGCCTTCAGTTGGGTGCCATCTACCACCAAACTACTGCCTCTCACTGAGCTCTCTCTTTAGTTGATGACCTCTTCGTCAGACAAGTAAGCCAAACTTCCTCGCACCAACTCCTACTTTTCCCTGTATTTCATTTAATTGTGGCATTTAAGCCCTTTAGCACAATACTTCCACCACCACCAACATCCCTCCTCCTCTTTGCAGGGTAAGGTAAGTCAAAGCTTTTATAAGTCTGGTAATTAGAAACCTCTATGGTACAGTTTCATTAAAAACTTTCATTAAACAACATCTGCCCTTGTATAGGGTCCCCTAATCAATTTGGTCAAACAGAAGGCCTTCTAATCGGCTGTTGATAAAAATAGAAGATGAAATTTTAATTCTAATAGATTAACCACAAACTCAAAGATAGTCTTCAAAATCCATCTCGCTCCATTCTCCAGTGGATTTAACGACTATTCAGCAACTCATTACTAAATAGAACAAGATGAACATTTTCCAGTTCATTAAAGAAATGTACTATGTATTTTTGCATTGTCCTCATGATTCGTTACAGGGAGTCTTAATTACAAGATAATGGATAATGGTTATTAAACGGAGGCTCCAGTAATGAAGCTCTATTCATTTGCGAGCCTTGGAGACTGCAAAGAAGGGAAAATAAAATTACTAGCTTCAAAAGATTAACGGATCAAATTATTATTCAATTCTGAAAATCTCATTCAGACTTTGCAGAAACAAGAAGGGATTTTTTTTCACACAAAAAAAATACCAGTATTAGGACTATAGTGATGCACTTATTTTTTATTTTTTTAAAAAATAATAATATCTTAAGGCTATTAGCAGAATAATCAGCTTGAGATGTGATTATCAAACATACAGCCAATTTAGCAGCATCTTCTAACAAAGAAAACAATACATTTTTTTATTTCGTGGAACAAATTCTATTATGATACGAGTGAGAGCTTGCTAGCAGGATTCCATAAAGAACATGGAAGATAAATGTTGCTCCTGAGCACTACAGTATAAAGGTATTATTAACATTTTATATTCCACTAATGAAAACAGAGACTTTGGAAAAAGGCGGAGGGGGGAAGGAGGGAGAGAAGCAAATGGCTTGCTTTAAAATGGAGGCCATTAAACATAATTCACACTAGCTTTATAAATAACGTATTTCTGGTCATATTGTTCAGCTGTCAGTGCCTTTTCTTTTTTTTAAGAGTGGTAATATAAAGGGCAAAGTTTAGGAAAAGAGAAAAGGTTGAGAATCTGATTCCATGGCAGTATGGAAGGACTGTTCTTCTGTGATACAGCACCTTCTCCCTTGCATGCAGAAGGTCCCAAGTTGAATGCCTGGCATCTCCAGGTAGGGCTAGTGGAGAACCTTGCGTGAAATCCCAGACAGCCTCTGCTGGCCACTGTCATCTTCTTCTTCTTTGGCAATCACTCATAGCCAAGTAAGACTATCTTCCATAAACATGGCTTTAAAAGTGAGTCCATAGGTGACTGTGGAGGCCAATTCTGGATCCACACGTCCTTCCACAGTGGGAACATAAGTTTCCGGGCAGGAGTTGATCACGGTGAGGGTTTGCCAAATGTGCCTTCCTCTTAGCGCATTTCTCCCTCTTGTCCTGAGTTTGAAAGTCTTCAAAGCCCATGACACCTTAGGGAAAGGCTGTTCTCCAACTGGAGCGCTTGCAGGCCAGTGTTTCCCAGTTGTCCATGTTTCTCAAGCATACAGTAAGGTTGGTAGTACAATAGCTTTGTAAAGAAGCGTTTTGGTTTCCCTATGAATGTCCCGGTCCTGAAACACACTGCACTTCAATCAGGAGAGCCACTGTAGAGCTAGATGGACCAATGGGTTTGGCTCAGCATCAGGCAATTTTCAATGTTCCACTCTGTCTATCTGCGATTCCCAGCAAATGGTATTCAGCGGCATGTTGCCTCCAACAGCTGGTGGAGAACATAGTCATCAGGGTTAGCAGCCATTACTAATCCTCTTTTGAAGACATCCAAGTTGGTGGCCATCACTACCTCCTGGAGAAGATCCCATCGTTGAGTCACTCTGTCCTGAACATTTTGGTTGCACGTTTCTGAACCTTTCCCAACACTACGATATCATTTCTGAGGCGGCGCAACCGGAACGGCACACAGTATTCCAAACATGGTTGCATTTGTATAATGCCATTACGGTTATCAGCAGTTTTCCTTTCGTAGTGATCCCAAGCATAGACTTTTATCTTTTTCACAGCTGCCACACATACTGGGTCAACATCTGGCTGCACAAATTGTAGCAAGAAATGAAGGAGAAGCAGACCAGGCCAAAGAATGTCAGGAACGCAGTTTAAGGATGCAGTTTGGGAAGACTTTAAGTATTTAAAGTTCCAGCTGATGAATCCTACCACCTTGGGTGAGAAAATATAAATCCCCCCAGGGTGGGTTTGCTATAAGAGAAATTGGGGAGCAAGCAGAAGGAAAATGCACACAACCTTTTGGAAAAGTCATTTTGGGCCACGTGTTTTTGTGGTTTCTTTTAAATCCTTCCTGGCCTACGTCTAGAAAGAGAAGGAAGACTACAATGTGAACTCACCACTATTCCACTCAGTTCAAACAATGGCCCCCAAACCCCTTTTGCATTTGTAAAAACGTTAACCATTTACATGATTAAAACTGGTAGAGTGGTTTTCAGCTAGCTATATCCAAAAACAATATTATGGTCCCATTATTAAGCAGTAAAGAATAATAAGCAGCATAGCAATCACAGAGTAATCACAATCTTTACGTTTCAAAGTGCCATAAAGACCCTGGGGACGTGATTATCTCCTGATAACCTCAGACTGCTTAAAGTTACTTTACTCTTAATAAAGAATAAGGACACAGTCTGCAATTTAAAACAATGCAGAGCAATCTGGCTGATGCATAATCTTTTGTATCACAGTTTTCACTGCAATCCTTTCAACCGCACTAATGAAAGTCCAAATTGGATGGCCCCGCGATGGAGTGTTAACCAAAAGCAACACACTCCTCCCTCCACCCGTAAGTGTAAGGGGTGAGGATCCAGCTGGGGATCTTATATCCCCCAACCTATGTGAATCAAGTCTCGCAAGAAAGCCTGCAGAGGGCACAAGGGCTGCTGTGTTCACGTCCTGCTTGCAGACTTTCCGCAGGCATCTGGTTGGCCACTGTGGGGATGCTGGACTAAATGAATCCATCAGGATCCTTCTTAGGTTCTTAAGGCTGCTTGTGGTTTCAAAGCCCCTTGCACAGTACTTCGCACGGGGCTTTGCAGGCTCCGCTGACCAGCAGGGCCTGCAAACCCCCACCCTTTCAGCCCAACTGCATTTTAAACTGCCCCATATCTGAGATCATATATGATGCCAAGTGTAGGGGCAGGCTGCCCTGGCTTGGCTGAAATGGCCTCTTGGGTCCAATGGGGTAGTCTGGCATGGTCCTGAGGTATGCAAGCTGGAGATTCCTCAATGCTGCTTCAACCCAACCAAGACCGGTCTGATATGTTTGTTGGCTGACCTGGAACAGGAAACACTCCCCCCCCCATGCATAGACACACCCTCATGAGTCCAGGTACATGGTACTCCTGAACTTGCACAGAACTGGCATTGACTATTTTAATTCGGATCATTTTTTTAAAAAAAAAACATTAGTCACTTTGCTATCTGCCTCGTATTCCCAAAAGGCCAAAGATATGAGGCCTTAAGACCCAAGGAACCAAGGAGGGATCCAGTGGTAAGCATTTGCTATAAGGTGTTAATCCTATTGAGTTAATGCATTTTCCTCCCTCCTTTTCATTAAATAGATCCGGTGGGAGGATGCATAAACACGTACACGCACACACGCGCGCACACACACACAAACACACACCCCACACATTCTCCTAAAGGGAGTTCAGGGCAGCTAACTAAAATATAGTATATGCAACAACAGAACAAGAAACTTGACTCAAAATATTAATAAAATGACACAAAACACCCATAGCGAAACAGAATAACACAACAGCAGTATCAGCAGGCGGGAATCTTACACTTCAGAGGCCTGGGGGAAGAGACATTTTCATTTGTTGGCATCCGTCTGTCTCAAGAGACAATGGAAGAGTGTGGCATCAGGGGTGAAGTCATACAGTTGGAGAGTTTCAACGCCTGCTGTGGTTGTAGAGACAGATGCGGGAGAGACATGTTTTGTTGCAGCTGGGGCAGATGAAGGTTGTGCTTCTGCAGATGCACCAGGCCATTTCTTCTCTCCGTGCTCCTCCCAGCTGTCATTCCTCCTCTGGTCACTGCTGTGGATACACAACCTTAACCATCTGTCTCCAGGCAGTCTGAGGTCATCTGCAAGGGATTCCCACATGGCGGAGTTACTGTCGCCAGTCTTCATATCACATCTGAAGACATCTTTATTACACAGAATTGGTCTGCCATTGGGCCTGGTGCCTAAAGCCAGCTCTCCACAGAGCACATCCTTGGGGATCCTGCCCTCATCCATTCTGTGGACATGACGAAGCCAGCGTAGACGTCGCTGAGACAGCACTGCGATCATGCTGGGAACATGCGCTTTGGGAGAACACATCTTTGTTTGAGACTCTGTCCTGCCATGCGGTGCCTGAAATCTTCCTGACTTATAGCCAGGGTACTTGTACGGTCTTACCCTAAGATGGACACCTCACTTAACCTCATGATAGGGCCAAGACTGACTACCCACCATGGCAGGGGCAGTAGTGGAAAGGGCTGTAGCTCATTGACAGTGCATCTGCTTTGAACCCAAAAGGTTCTCGGTTCAATCCCTGGCATTTCCAGGTGGGACCAGGAATGTCCTGGCTGAAAATCCTGGAGAGCCACTCCTAATCAGCGCAGGTGCCGACAATGCTAAACTAGATGGATCAGTGATCTGACAAAGCAGCTTGTTATGTTTCTGAGATTTGATGTATATGATACACTGCATTGAACAACTTTTTATTTTTAAGCCCATCTTCCAAATTTATTCATTTGCTCGTAACCTAGCCTTCCTTGAAAAGCTCTGAGGAACTTATATGGGGCTCTCTGGCAATCTCTCCCAATCGAGTCCATACCAGCTCAGCTTCAACAAAGCAACAATGCTGGATGTTCCCAGACCATTCCCTTCAACTCATATTGCACGGAGCTACGGAACATTTCCAGCAACTCGATTTAACTTTGATGCTTTCCAGTGTCAGCAGTAAGTTGTTAACTAATTTTATTAATAAAAGCCTATTGTCTACCAAACTTGGAGGAAAGTTGCTGAAATGGAAAAATGAGCTGCTTGAAATGGATTTAGAAAAAATATATTACACTGAACAAAGCAAGCCAGGAAATTAGGCTCCTTTATCAGGCTCTGAAAGTGCTATGAATTTTAAACATAACTTTTTTTTAAAAAAAGGCAGATATATTTTTTAAAAAAACACACACACACGCAACCAAGATCACCACACTTCAATGTCAACTTGAGTGTATTTTTCAATGGTTTCTGATAAAAGCACTCGAATTGCAATAAAAGTTCATGCCTTGAAGGAAGGAAGAAGTTATCTTTGCTTTGAAACCTTTAGGCTTTAAGTATAAATGCCTCGACTGTGTCAGCCCGCCCTCCCCCACACACAAAGTCTGCACCAAAGACATTAAAAAAATTATTTGCAAGGGATATAACTGATGAAACTTACAAAAGCAAATGTTTGTCCTTGTTAGCTATCCATTTCCACAGCGCCATGAGCATACATGGCGTTCTACAGAATCGGATATCGTGGGACAAGTGCCTGCCCCAAAGAGCGTACAGGCTGTCTTTCCATAATGAGGGGGGGGCATGGAAAGGTGGGTGGGAGAGGCAGGGAGACTGTGTCCATGCACATTTCAGTATCTACCCCCATATCTATAAGGAATATAGAATATTCTATACAGAATATATCTGTAAGGAATTTCAGTGGTTCTTAAGGATATCTAATGCAATTAGGTCTTTATCAACAGAAAATAACAACACTCTGGTTCGCCATACTCCAGCTAAGATGCCACTGACAAGGTAAAATTAAAGGACCCCTGGATGGTTAAGTCCAGTCAAAGGCGACTATGGGGTTGCAGCGCTCATCTCGCTTCCAGGCCAAGGGAGCTGGCGTTTGTCCACAGACAGCTTTCCGGGTCCTGTGGCCAGCAGGACTAAACCGCTTCTGGCGCAACGGAACACTGTGACGGAAACCAGAGCGCATGGAAACGCCGTTTACCTTCCCGCCACAGTGGTACCTATTTATTTACTTGCACTGGCGTGCTTTCAAACTGCTAGGTTGGCTGGGACAGAGCAACGGGAGCTCACCCCGTCGTGGGGATTCAAACTTCCAACCTTCTGATCGGCAAGCCTAAGAGGCTCAGTGGTTTAGACCACAGCGCCACCTGCATCCCTTTACCTTTTTTATGCTGCTGAAACTGACTACTAGCTCCACCCTCCCCTTCTAGCTTATCACTCTGGATTCCTCCCAAGCAGACGAAGGCTGCATCGAGCGGGTGAGCTCCTCCTCTGGGCCTGTCTGGCATATTGCTCCACAATGTGCAGGACTCTCCTCAATTGAGGTGTCAGAGTGGGAGGTGAGCCAGCAGGACTGGGACTGTTCTGCTGCTGCTGCTGCTGCTGCTGCGTAGCTAGGGCAATCTGACTTCTCTCTATCTGAGTCTGCGCTCGCACTGTGACTCTCAGCCTCTGACCCTGTCCTGTATGGTCCTCCTTCTCCTGACCCCCCTTGATCGCTCAAACCCCCTGCTTCCAGCACCTCCCAGCTCCTTCCTTCTGCAGACTGCCCTTTCCCACCACCAGGATCCAGGACCTAAAGTCTTCTTCTTCTGTGCCCTCCTTGGGGGGCTTTTGGGCAGGCGGCTCCCACCACTCTTCCTCATCCAGTCAGTCCTAGACACTCTGCACTAGAACATCTACCGTTTCCTCCTTCTGTGTCTGTGTTGCATATACAGGAAACCACCATATGCAGTTCTGCTGAAGCACAATCGCCACACACAAAATCAGAGCACTGCTGAGTGATCGCTGTAAACACAGGAGGGAGGCTGCATTTAGCATTCCTGGCTGCAAGTTTATTTAAAATAATGTTATGCCAGCCCTTCGCTAAAACAACAGACAACTCCCAGGGTGGTTTACTACAAGGCAATAAAAACAAAGAAACATAAAAACCCAACAAATATGGACAAACAAACAATAAATCAAAATCGGGAAAACGGCAGCGGAGAAGACACAACCCAACAATTCAGTGTGAAAAACAGAACTTCACAGCCAGCTTGTTTGAGATCAGAGATGGGGAACCAGGAGCACTCCAGATATGGCTGGAGCCCCAGCAATGACAGGCAGGTCGCAAGTCTCTTACCCCTGGATGACACAGTACTGAGACTAATGGGTGAATCGTAAGCATAATTCTATACTAGATGACAGAGGGCCTGGAAAGCTTCTTCACCAGGTGCCAAAATGACTTCAGAGGGCATTTCGCAGGCAGGGGGCCATGACCAAGAAGGCTCTGTCTTTGGGGGAAAGGGATGCAGCTCAGTAGAAGAGCATCTGGTTTGGTCCCAAATTCAACCCCACAGCATCTCCAGGGAGGGCTGAGGAGAGACTCCTGCCTGAAACCCTGGACAGCTGTTTTCGGCCAAGTGTATACACTATTCAGCTACATGGACCTGGAACTGACAAGGCAAGTTCCTATGTTCTCTTCAATCACCATTTGCTTGCCTAACTTATCAATCTTATTATCAAAGTTTTAAATGTTCATAGATGTTTCGAAGGTGGCTTCTTTATGTCTTTTTTATTTTTTAAAGGGCACCGTTTGGCTGCTTTGCTGTTTGTGAGCCTGGGCTCCTTTGGCAGGGAAGGCATGGGGAAAATTCCCCTTGGGCTTTCGAGTACGGAGGCTCACGCCAAGTTCCCAGAAGGCCAGGCTTTATTCAGCAATGCATTGCAGGACAGAGTCCAAAGAGCCCAAGAGAACTTTCAATCGCGACACAGGAAAAATAAACGTCACATCGGCTGTTCGTCCTCACTATGTCTTCATCCAACCGCAGTCCTTGAAAACGTACACTCAGCCCATTTTCTTTCACTGAACATGCAGACACCTCCTCGTGCCTTATCTGGAGTTGTTCTTCACTCTAACAGTCAGCGTTCGATTCCTCCTAAACTGGTTCTTACTGGTTTTATATGGTCAGGCTGCCCTTTTGCATACGTGATGCCGATAATGGGTTTTCCATTCCACGTCAATGGTCAGCAAAGAAATCCGGCAAGCAAGATGGCGGCAAGGGCGTCCAGGTCACCGAAGATGACCATAGTGTTCCGCTGGGTAGCTGACGTTTCTTGAGGAAACTTGGGTCCCAAGTTCTCAAAGTATTTAAAAAGCAACTCTCTTCAAACCTGCCCACCCCTGCCAGCAGCTTTGTAGCATGAGGGAACTGAAGAAACAGCATTCGCTCGAGCACTTCAGAGAATCCACACCCTGCCTTTCTCAAGACATTTGAAGTGCCCTGGGAGATCCTTGGCTCTTGTGCATCACCTGCTTCTGCTTCTTCTTGCCCTTGTTCTTTGAAAGGCAGGAGCCGTTTGATCAACGAGTGGCCCAGATCAAGTCTTTTGCGACTTCAAAACACAGCTCTCATTTGTACCTTTTCCCGCCTCCTAACATCCAGCTGACTTCGTCCGGGAGAGTTTGGGCTCCGGAGGACAAATGAAACTTATTTAAATAGCTTTATATTAAAATAGTCCATCATAAGCATTAACATGCAACCCCTGTCCCTCAAAAGAATAAAAAAGCCCACTCAAAAAAAAAAAAGAAAGAAATTAGCACAAGGGAATTAAATATTTATATCAAATACAACTCTTATATATCTCTCTGGAGATAGGGAGCGGGCGGGAATCTTGTCAGAAAATAAAGTTTAAAAGAATGGGTGGGAGTGATAATTTTTTTTCAAAAGGGGGGTAAGTTTGTTCTTTTCTCCTGCAACTGATTGCGGACTAAAATATCCATTTGGAAACGCCAAGCATCTGTTTGGTGGCAGCTGTAAGTAACATTACCCACACTCAAGACAATTTATATCTTTCCCTTTTATTAAAAAATAAACAGGCCCCTTTAAATTATTCACCAGCAAATTAAAACAGACACAAGCGCAGCCGCAGCAGCAGCGAGGTGGGTGGCTCAGGAACCCAAGAAAGGAAGAGAACCCAAAACTACCTCTGGAGGGGAGACAAGCCAAGACCTCTTCCATTGGACTGAGCAGCCCGCAATTCATGCACTGACCCAACCAATTTTCAATACAAGAGAAGCTCTGAAAGCTCAGATACTGTATCAAAAGCTGCATCTATAAATAATAAAAAAACACACACAGAGGTACCAACTCTGCAAGTCTTTTCCTCCCTTTACAAAGCAGGCTGCGTGATATCTGACTTTGGTTTTCATTGCACCTTTTCAAGGGTTTTGGACCTTCCTCTCCCCCCGCCCGTCTTGCTGGTTTCCCTATTCACCACAAACATTGTCCGCTTGTTTTCTGAATGGGTTTCAAGTGTTTTATATAACTGTGCTTTAAATTCAGCTCCAGTGTCTAAATACAGAGATGCGGGAGTTTTCCTTCTAAAGAGAGTTGGACCTCAGTAGCAGCTGCTGCCAAAGCACCATCCTTTTAATGCCCTTTTAAAATGTGGGGAATTTTTTGGGGGGCTGGGGAGGGGTTATTGGGTTGTTTTTATTTTGGCTATGTATTTTGTATTTTTATACTGTTGTTTCGTCTTGTAACTGCCCTGAGACCTGCGGGCATAGAGTGGCATACAAATGTTAACAACAACAACAGACCTCCTTCCTGGAAATTGCACAGCAATCCACAGCGAAACAGCCTTCCCAGCCCAACCTCACTTACTTGGGAAGCCTGGCATGGGACTGTAGGCCTTATTCAAGGCTGTATAAAAATGAGGCATGGAATTGATTAAAGTGGATTGGGAGAGGTTTTCATCCTCTCTTGTGCTACTAGAACCTGAGGACTTCCAATGAAGCTGAATAGAGTGGTTCAGGACAGAGGGAAAATCTGTACCACACATCTAAAGCACTATTATACCACTTTAAACAGTTAAGGCTTCCCCCCAAAGCATCCTGGGAACCGAAATTTGTCAACGGAGCTGAGAGTTGTTACCTATTCCACACGCAGAGCTACAACTCTCAGAGTTCCTGGGGCAACTCAGTCAGCAGAGCATGAGATTATTAACCTAAGGGTCGTGGGTTCGAGCCCCATGTAAAAAATTCCTGCACTGCAGAGGGCTGGACTCGATGACTCTTGGGGTCCCTTCCAACTCTATGATTCCCAGGAAGAGGGCTTGATCATTAAACCACTCTGGGAATGCTACCCCTCTGAGAGAAATAAAGGTCTCCTGGCACCTCTCAGGACCCTTAAAAAATACAGTTCCCAGAATGCTTTGAGAGAAGCCATGAGGCGGTTTAACAGGGCTTTAAATTTATGGTGCAGATGTAGCCAGAAAAGAAATAAGTAGTTATTCTTCTCACAGCGCATGATCTATTGCATGGGTAAGCAAACTAAGGCCCGGGGGCCGGATCCAGCCCAATCGCCTTCTAAATCTGGCCTGTGGACGGTCCAGGAATCAGCATGTTTTTACACGAGTAGAATGCGTCTTTTTATTTAAAATGAATCTCTGGGTTATTTGTGGGGCCTGCTTGGTGTTTTTCATGAGTAGAATGTGTGCTTTTATATAAAATGCATCTCTGGGTTATTTGTGGGGCATAGGAATTCATTCATTCCCCCCCCCCCAAAAAAAAAAATATAGTCCGGCCTCCCACAAGGTCTGAGGGACAGTGGACCGGCCCCCTGCTGAAAAAGTTTGCTGATCCCTGATGGACTTTAACTCCACCAGAGGCTTTCCTTGTCCAAGGTTTTGGTTCAGCAACCAGCCTCTTTTTAATGTCCTTCCATTAGTGCTGGCTTATTATTATTATTTACTGCATTTATACGCTACTTTTATCTTCCAAGGACCTCGTGGTGGTGGTTCTCTCCCTCCCCATTCCATTCCAATCCTCCCAACAAGCCCATGAGGTAGGTTAATGCTAAGAGATGATGACAGGTCCAAGGTCACCCAGCGAGCTTCATGGCTGAGTGGGGATTCGAACCCTGGTCTCCTGGGTCCTATTCCAACACTCTAACCATTACGCCATACTGGCTTCCAACCAAGGGCTCGTTTCTCAGAATTTCTGAGGAGAAGGAAATGCTCCGCTTTCACAGTGTGGTCTGATGCGTTTGGCCGCTGCACTCGATTCAAACGGAAACAAAAACACGCTTAGCCGCTAACAAAGCCGCAGATTGATGAAAGCTATTGTGTATATTTAAAAATGGGAAGCTGCCACGGTGCTGTTATAAGAATGCGGGCCGAGGAGGGAGGGGGGATAGTGTTAACAGCAGAGCCATCTGCTGTACTGCAGTGAAACTGCATTTCAAAAAACACAGGGTGGAAAGGAGAGGTGAACTTCAGAACCTATTTTTATTTAAGGAAGAATCAAAACAAAGATTTTGAGAACCCCGCAGTGTTAAATTAACCAGCAGCCCCACTCTAGAAGTTCTGTAGGAAAGGCTGCTAATTCTGCAGGGCTAACTGCCCACTTAACGGTTATTTTCTGAATTTGTTCCCTACCCTTCACCGTAAGGTCCGAGTGAGGGTTATAACAATATAAAAATACATTAAAACTAGTTTCAAAAATTAGGAACTGGAAGAATAGGGTGGGTCCTGAATATCTATGGGTAGTGTTTAACCAAGAGTTATTCAAAGTAAACCCACTGAAATTAATGAACATGATGAAGTTAGGCTCATAAATTTTAATACGTCTACTCTGAGTAAAGCTAAGCTGAATACCACCCTTTATTTTAGGAGTCAAAGGGGAGGGTGGAGAGGTACGTCATCGGGTCTGCCTGGGAACTGGGCCATGGTACCTGGTATCATGGATGTTCAAGCTTTTTGGTTCAAGTATTCCTGCAGTGTCCCCTAGTCCTGCTATAGTAGATCTGACTGCTCTTCATATGGCCTCTCTTTCATCTTGCCTTGGCGCACTCTGCTCCACACAAGGCCTCCCACAATCTGGGCTGCAGTGGGCCTTGTTGCCCCAAAACAGTCGGTCATAACAGCCATTTATTATATCATACCCTCCAACATGGGACGCGGGTGGCACTGTGGGTTAAACCACAGAGCCTAGGACTTGCCGATCAGAAGGTTGGCAGTTCGAATCCCCACGATGGGGTGAGCTCCCGTTCCTCGGTCCCTGCTCCTGCCAACCTAGAAGTTCGAAAGCACGTCAAAGTGCACGTAGATAAATAGGTACCACTCTGGCGCAAAGGTAAACGGTGTTTCCGTGTGCTGCTCTGGTTCGCCAGAAGCGGCTTAGTCATGCTGGCTACATGACCCGGAAGCTGTACGCCAGCTCCCTCGGCCAATAAAGCAAGATGAGCACCGCAACCCCGGAGTCGGCCACGACTGGACCTAATGGTCAGGGGTCCCTTTACCTTTACCCTCCAACATGTCCAGGCCAAAAACTGTGTGAGTCAAATGACCTGAGCAAGATCGCAGTCCCGAGGAAAGTGCAGGTGATGCAGGATGGGGGATAAAAAGCAACTAGCAATTGTATTTATTAAATAATAATAATAATAAATAATGGAAGTTACCTGCCATCATGGCTACAAGACTTGCTTTGTAGACATTAGTAAGCGATCCCAGCTCTCCTGTCCCCAAAATAGTTTTCATATGAGCTTCTCCACAGGCCTGACGACACTGACGTATTTCTTCGTAGAGACCTAGCAGAAAGGAATTTTTTTTGGTTAATAATAATAATAATAATAATAATAATTTTAAATTTATAGCCTGACCATCTTGCTGGGTTTCCCCAGTCACTTTGGGTGGCTTACAACTTATATAAAAACACAACTAAGCTATACGAGCAACAAACCAACCAATAAATCAATAAAAACCAATAACAACAATAACAACAATAACAACAGGCTCTTCTTGTGTTCTTAACAAAGAAGGGCAGCAAGTAGCTGGATTCCCTCTTCTGCCAACCCCTAGCGAGACTAGCCCCTGTTTATTTATTGGCTGGCTAGCAATTTGTAAATACCCATCCCCCCCCCAATGCTGTGAGTGTGTTAATTGCCTCTTGCTCCTGCTATTAAACAGCACACTTGCTTTGAAATTCTATGACGCACTCTGTATTCGTAAAATTCGTAATGTGGGTGAAAAACGTCCTTGATTCTCCCCAGCAGCAGCACCCTCAGTCTCTCCTTTCTTTCCTTTCCCCCTTTTTAGAGCTTTTTAAAAAGCCCATGGCAAAGTTGAGGGTCGTGCTTCATGGATGGCTGGTGGCCGTTTGGAACAAGTCTCCACGTTCTTAATACATTTCAAAAATTGCTGAAAATGTTAAGTACTTTAGTGTACGTCCAATTACGCCAAGCCTTAAGTTAAATCTGCTGTTACCTATTGTTGAGTATCTTCGCGCCACTTGAACTATAATTTGTCTAAGCCTGGTCTTTTAACAATTATTTTAAGTGCTCTCTAATGGATTGGAATATAAAAGCAACTGCTTTGTGTCGGCTCGCTCTTTGAGTTTAGGAGCTGAGTCCTTGCACTGGAGTTACTGAACTTCTTTCTGATAGATGCCTTTCCCCTAACAATTGCCCATTAGTGTAAAGAAAATGTTAAAAACACACACAATTTTTCTCTCTTGCATTTACTTCCCCCCATCCCCACTAATATACCACGACCAAGGGACAAAGAACGTGATGTAGCTCTGAACATGGGCTTCAGTCCTAAAATGTTAGCTTAAGGAGCAGCCACCATCGCTTCTGTAGAGTGGCTTGAACGATGTAGGATGTGTTATCAGGGGAGCAGGGGACGGGAAGTTTTCCTCTTCTGAATTTCCTGTTTATTTATTTATTGTGTCTGCACCCTACGTCAGGCATAGGCAAACTCGGCCCTCCAGATGCTTTGGGACTACAACTCCCATCATCCCTAGCTAACAGGACCAGTGGTCAGGGATGATGGGAAGTGTAGTCTCAAAACATCTGGAGGGCCGAGTTTGCCTATGCCTGGCCTGTGTTTTCCTCAAGGAGCTCAAGGTGGTGTTTGTGATTCTTCCCCTCCTCATTTAATCTCCACAGTAGGTTAGGTGAGAGGCAGGAAGTAGCTCAAGGTCACCCAGTGGTGATAATTCTTTATTATTGCAAATCTATCTCGCCTGTTCTCCAAGGAGCTCAAGATGGCGTACATGGTTCGACCCCCCTCCCTCCTTTTTACCCTACTCCTGTGCAGTAGGTCTGCTGAGAGATGGTGACTGGCCCCAGGTCATCCCGTAAACGTTGTGGCTGAGTGGGGATTTGAACTCTGGCATCCAAGGTCCTAGCCCGACACTTTTACCACCACATCTTAGGATCCAAGCTTTGAACATCTAGCCTCTGGATATGGAAGAGTGCAGCCTCTCCCGAAATAACCTAACAGATTGGAGAACTGGGCCACAACCAACAAAAATAATTTCAATAGAGAGACATGTAAGGTTCTGCACTTAGGCAGGAAGAACTGGATGCACAAATACAAGATGGGGGACACCTGGCTTGCCAGTAGTTCATATGAAAAGGATCTAGGGGTCTACGTAGATCACAAGCTTCACATGAGTCAACAGTGAGTTGAATTCTGGGCAGCACATTTAAGAAGGATATTGGCATCTTAAAAGGCAGAGACATCACCTTGCCAACAAAGGTCCGTACAGTGAAAGCTATGGTTTTCCCAGTAGTGATGTATGGAAGTGAGAGCTGGACCATAAAGAAGGCTGATCGCCGAAGAATTGATGCTTTTGAATTATGGTGCTGGAGGAGACTCTTGAGAGTCCCATGGACTGCAAGAAGATCAAACCTCTCCATTCTGAAGGAAATCAGCCCTGAGTGCTCACTGGAAGGACAGATCCTGAAGCGGAGGCTTCAATACTTTGGCCACCTCATGAGAAGAGAAGACTCCCTGGAAAAGACTCTGCTGTTGGGAAAGATGGAGGGCACAAGGAGAAGGGGATGACAGAGGACAAGATGGTTGGACAGTGTTCTCGAAGCTACCAGCATGAGTTTGACCAAACTGCGGGAGGCAGTGGAAGACAGGAGTGCCTGGCGTGCTCTGGTCCATGGGGTCACAAAGAGTCGGACACGACTAAACGACTAAACAACAACAACAAGAAGACGCTCTGGGAGCCCTGAAGAACAGGATACAAATGCTCGAAATGAAATGAGTTTTAAAAAACTGCTCCTGCTTCACTCCTCGGCTGGGCGTAAGTGGGGCAAACAACCTATGAAACCACAAGTTAAGCTTGGTGTCCCATTACATCAGCAGCCCAGGATCCTGGTAACAAGCCAGGATCATTTGCCAGCTTTAAAACACAGCTTGGCGTAAGCCTTTGAAGGTGAGCTTCTTAAGGAGAAACAGGCCACGATCCCGGGTTTGGGCACTATATGAAGCCAAGCTTAACAGCAGCAGGGCTTTCTCACTTGTGCCAGAGGAGGAGCACACAGTGAGAGCAATAGGGGCACTTGCACCAGCACACCACTTGTGCAAAGATAACAGAAGAGAAACCCTAGCTTATCATGATGTGCAACACACGGCCAATGTCAAATCTGCATGGTATAGTAGTTAGAGCATTGGACTAGGAGTTGCCAGGCCTTGAAGCTGACTGGGTGACCTCAGGTGAGCTGCTACCTCTCAGTCTAACCTACCCCACAACAATAAAATGGTGCAGGTCGGGGAGATAACTGTGTGCACTCGTCCCTTGAGCTCCCCGGAGGAAGGGAGGGTGGAAATAAAAAAAATAGCCTGTGTGAGTTCAACAGAACATTGTCTACGACAAAGCTACTTGGTAAAAGAGGCCTTTAGCACCACATCCTCCAGCTAAAGAAATGTTGCATTGTAATGGAAGGATGCTAATTGTACAAACACAGAGCTTAGTTACTGGAGCACTGTCAGCATTTAAAGGCAAACCATTCAAGGTACATTAAGAGAAAACCAATTACAGAGAAATGCCTTCTCCTACTGTATTAAAAAGCTTGCTAATTAATAGCATTCCAGGGAGACAACTCGCAACAGCAATCTAAACGGTACTGAGGATGCACTGAGATTCTGCGAACACCAATTAGAAAACACAGAGATTTTGTTGTCAGGAACCAAACACACTTTTCTTCTTTCTTTCCTTTTTTAAAAGTAACGCTAGGCCAACAACCCCTCGAGTTCTTTTTAACAATTCTGTTTGGAAATAATTAGAGCGCTGGCATCCATGTTACTTTCCTCCCCCCCCCCCCCATTTCACATGAAGTTAAGACAAAAGCGGGGGGAAATTTATTTTTCACAATATTCCTTTGCGGAAGGAAAGCTTTGTGAAAAAGAAAAGGAAATCTTGCCGATACACGGGCCTGATCGTTGTCAGCGACAAATGCATTGGGGTAACGGGCTTCCCCCGCCATCACCAGGCAGGCGGCAGCAAATTGTGCAAAAAGAGAACAAAGGCTCTCAGGTTCAAACCCCACATAGCCAGGGAAAAGAATCAGGAAAAAGACCGGTGCTGATTAGCTTCTGGGCTCAAATCGAAGTGCTGGCATGGTACAAATAATAAAATTATTATGATTACGACTGTTATTATTATTATCAGTTGTGCTCAACTATAAAAAAGTTGAAATACAAATAGTTAAACAACATTGGGTAATTTTTGGCTCATAATATCCAGAGCCTGAGGTAACCCAAGGAAGCTGGAAGACCGGAGATTCAGGACTGTCAAAAGGAAGCAGTTTTTCATTTGGTGCATTGTTAAATTGTGGCATTTGCTACCTTAAGATGTAGTGATGGCTGCCATTTTGGATGGCTTTCAAAGGAGATCAGACAGATTCATGGAGGATATCCACGGGTCATGATGGCTATATTATCTCCAGTATCAGAGGCAGTACTGCATATGCCTCTAAATAAATACCAGTTGCTGGGGGTCACCATGGGCACGTGCTATTGTGTACATTTCCTGGGCAACCAGTTGGCCAATGTGAGATCAGGACGCTGGACCAGACAGGCCTTTTGGTCGCACCCAGCAGGGCTCTCCTGATGTTCCTGCAACCATTTTTCTGTCAGGACTCCCTTAATGCTCACCTTCCCACTGGCCTGTCAGGACTAAAGTTCTGTTAATGACGATGTCTATCTCTCTGGCGCCATCTTCCACGGCGAGGCGGATCTCCTCCAAGCGGGTTTTCAGAGCCGTCTGTCCTGCTGGAAATCCAGTTGCCACTAAGAGAAAAACACACACAGTGCAAGTTATTAGTCTTGGTGCGAGCAGAGAGATAGCAGAGGGGCAACAGGCATGAGCCTGCCAGATCTATAGAACTTGTTCACCACAGTCAGGTACTTCCCACAATCCAACCATCCACAATCCCTCCCAAATTTCCAGTCTTTCTTTTTCCTCAACAAAAGGAGGAAGTGTGGAAGTAAGAGGTTAAACTAGCACCACACATGAGACTCTAAAACAGAAGAGGCCATCATGGTGCCCTTCAGGTCTGATGGACTACAACTCCCATAATTCCTTGCTGTTGGGTTGCGCAGGCTGGGTTTGATGGGACCTGGCAATCCCTGATTCACACATCAATGATTTTCAAGCATTCTGCCCTCATGTAATTGCAATATAAACAGGGAAGGTGGAAAGCAGAGCTGCAAGAAGCAAATTAACTTTCATCAGCAGTGTCATAGCTGTCAACGTTTCCCTTTTTTAAAGGAAAATTCCCGTATTCTGAATAGGATTCCTCGCAAGAAAAGGGAAAAGTTGACAGCTATGATCAGCACTGCATCACATGCATACATAATCTTATTTGTATGCCACTTTTCCACAGCTCAAACCATGTTCAAGGTGGCTTACTAGATAAAAAACCCCACATAACTACAACATAACAAAAGTAGTCATAAACGATAAACAAACTATTAAAAAATACAAAACCAAACTGACCAATTTCCACGTAAATTTCACAACAAAATCTAAATTAAAACACAAAAAGCAAAAGCAGCAACAGTCCCCACAACAACAAAAACCCCAAACAGTGGAACACATTGTTGCCGCAGCCCCTATACCAGGGGTGACTAATCTTCTTTGGCCCGGGGGCCACATTCATCCCTCGTAATCCTCCAAGGGCCGCATAATGGGAATGTATGCAGTCAAGTCAGGATCCACATAAGCACAGGAGGAAAGTTTACCTGAAGCTACTGGGATGTCACAGCCAGCAGCCTTCAGTGCTTTCACTGCATCAGCGACTCTTGCTGGATAGACGCAAACGGCAGCAGTAGTAATGCCTGCAAACAGATCGAGAATATGGTCCACTTTAGTTTCTGACTCACTTTCAGGGCCAGCCTTGCCACAAGGCAGGGCAAGGCCCCTCTCCACCATCAGAGGGCAGCAAATTGCCAAATGCGTAGATTTTCTATATATAATTTCCATGGAGGGGCATCATTTTGCTTTCCTGTTTCACAAACAGTGACCCCAAGGGCCCATCTCTCCCATTCCCCAAAGCAAGAATTCAGTGTTGAGAACTTAGATATTGGATATATTAAGAACGTAAGAACTGTGTTCTGCTGGTTCAGGCCAAAGGCCCATCTAGTCTAGCATCCTATTCCCACAGTGGCCATCAGCCCTCTATCCACTTCTGAGTCCCCAAAACTGGCATTTGGGGGCACGACGCCTCTGATAATGGATGCAGAACAAAGCCACATCTTATTATGTACTTCCCGCTTCTCTTGAGCATTGAGAAGTTCCAGAGTTTCGTATCCCCGCAACACACCTGACAGCTACTGCGTTTTTGTAATACTAGCTTTATTTGCCAGTATGAAGTCAGGTCACAACTGGAGACAAAGATCCCCCTTTAGAACTTATAGAAGTTCTCTTTCGCGGGTTTTTGCTTTTTACTCTGACGCTGTTTTTTTTAAAAAAGAATGTCCCGAGCCATATTTTGTGTGCCTCTGCTGCGAATCTGTAGACCTCCCAGAAAACCTTTTGCTTATGGGTGGTATAAAAATGTTGTAAATAAAATAGAATTCTTCATTTTGTAGAAGAACCTTTATTTAACAAAAACAAAAACTATACAGTGTGTGAATAGCCTTATTTGTAGCATGGGAGATACTCACTGAAAAAGCAAGGCAACAGAGCTGAAGAACCTGCCTTATACTGCCACCTAGCTATTTTATTGTCTCTGACGGAGATTTGTTTAGCAGGAGACTGAACGTGGGACCTTTTGCAGAAAAAGCAGGTGCCTCGAAAAGGCAGGCAGACACACGCCCCACTACACACCAAAACCTTATAAATGGGTGATGATGGGAGGCAGGGAGGGTGCTTGAAGATTATCGGGCTTACTCATTCCATGATCAGGGCAACAGGAGATCTACGGGTCATATTTATGCCACTTTCCCATGAAAACAGTCACTCACAAAGCGGTTTACAACAAATAAAAACCAGAATGCGTCTCAAAACCAACCACCACGAGGAAAATTTCATAACGGAATGTTAGCAAATATAACAATGCACCAAAAAGGGGGCAAAGTTTCGGATGTTGATTGCACAAAATTGGAGAAATACCAGCTAAAGAACAATGGCAAGAGAAGTTGATGAACTATGCAGAACTGGCAAAAATGACAGATAGACTAAGAGAAAAAGACAACAGAGACTCTGAAAAAGATTGGGAACCATTCATATTATATTCGCAGAAACAAAGAAAGTCAATAGACTTGATGGCAGGATTTAAATAAACATTCACATTATCAGCATCAGAAAATGTTTAGAAGATAGTGAAATATGATGGTGCATTTAATTTTACTCTTTTTTTTTTAGGTTTGATGTTATGTTATTAATAACTTTTTTTGTCAAGAGATAGCAAAATGGGTGAAAATAGAAACAAACCAGAAGCGGAAGCTGGGGGAAGTCTTGGAGGGGAGGGAGGGAGGAATATATAGTAAATGTTAAGAATTTGAGGTGTATGTAATGAATGAAAAAGAAAAATGAATTAAAAAATTTATTAAAAAAAGAGGACAGTCCAGGCCCTTACATCCCAGCTGAAACAGAGAGATCATACCCGCCCCCCAGAATGGCTGGTGCAACCCAGTGAGATGGACAGGGAATAAGTAATAAATCATTATTATTACTAAACAAGAGAACCCTGCTAGTTTCCCCCTCATATCTCAGAAACATGACGGTCTTCAACCTGAAGTTGGGCATTTAGTATAGCTCTTCCAGCAGAGATTTGCCAGGCATCCTCACTGCCAACTTTCAGGCGCCTCTCAAATATATTTTTTTATGCCGAAAAGCCTATTCCGTTCTTTAATTAACGCCCACTGCAAATCATTTTTATGACAGTATGCTTCCGTGCTTCATTGGAATTGTACGTACCACCTTGATGATTTATACAAGTGGGCCATATATAAATGTTTGTACAAATATAAGTAAGTAAAATGGGACGCGGGTGGCGCTGTGGGTTAAACCACAGAGCCTAGGACTTGCCAATTAGAAGGTCGGCGGTTCGAATCCCCGCGACGGGGTGAGCTCCCATTGCTCAGTCCCTGCTCCTGCCAACCTAGCAGTTCGAAAGCACATCAAAGTGCAAGTAGATAAATAGGTACCACTCCAGCGGGAAGGTAAACGGCTGGACCTAATGGTCAGGGGTCCCTTTACCTTTACCTTAAGTAAGTAAAATAAGGAGGTATAAGCAGGAGTGGGGGAATGTCTGCAGAAGTACAAGTGGTGGGGGGGACTTTGAAGTGGAAGGGAACTCCAGAAACAGAACTGTGAGCGCTTGCATGCTCTGTGGCCAAAGAATGGTTAAGGCTATTGGAGTGGTGGGAGGGGAATGGAAAAACCAGAAAGGGAGAGGAAATGCAATGGAGAATTCTAAAAGAGGTTAGCACCCTCAACAGGAGTGCTAAACACTGCAACATTTCGTTGCAGTTCTCACTTCTTCAGCTGAAGCCCTGGAATCCAGATTGTCCTTCTGAGCCGGACTAACCGTTCAGCAGAAACCAGCACATACCAGAGGATCGATCCGAGGGACTTGGCACACAAACAGCCCATGTATCTTTTCCAGATACACATAATAATAATAATAATTTATTATTTATACCCCACCCATCTGGCTGGGTTTCCCCAGCCACTCTGGGCGGCTTCCAACAGAACACTAAAATACAATATTAAACATTAAAAGCTTCCCTAAACAGGGCTGCCTTCAGACGTCTTCTAAAAGTTTGGTACAGTGGTACCTCAGGTTACAGACGCTTCAGGTTACACACTCCGCTAACCCAGAAATATTACCTCGGGTTAAGAACTTTGCTTCAGGATGAGAACAGAAATCGTGCAGCGGCGGCGCGGCGGTAGCAGGAAGCCCCATTAGCTAAAGTGGTGCTTCAGGTTAAGAACAGTTTCAGGTTAAGAATGGACCTCCGGAATGAATTAAGTTCTTAACCTGAGGTACCACTGTACAGTAGTTACTTTTCTCTTTGACATCTGGTGGGAGGGCGTTCCACAGGGTGGGTGCCACTACTGAGGAGGCCCTCTGCCTGGTTCCCTGTAACTTGGCTTATCGTAGCCAGAAGGCCTTCGGAGCTGGACCTCAGTGTCCGGGCTGAACGATGGGGGTGGAGAAGCTCCTTCAGGTATACTGGGCCTTTGAGGCTATTTAGGGCTTTAAAGGTCAGCATGACCTGAACAGAACCAAGGTTCTGTTCCTGCTTTGCACAGAAAGACTTACCTTTGCCGTCCACGCTCATAGCTTGCAACAGATCCGCTCGGATGGGATGCTTCGCTTTGTAGCACAACCTGCAGACGTTGGAAGGGGTGTCATCGCCCGAAAGGGTGGTGAGGTCAATGCAGGTGACGGCCCTCAGGTGCCAAGCTGCCTTTTATCATATAGAAATATACATATATATTAAGAAAAGGCCTTATCATATAGCTGCATGCCTAGAGAACACCTGGTACTTCAGAGGCCAGGACAGATAAGAGCGCTGGTACATAAACAAGCTACAATGAACCACAGACTCTCACTTTCCCTCCTCTCATCTATTTTCTGTGCCAGAAGAAGATCAGAAGCTTCTGGTGATTTTTAAACAAAACCAGTTTGCTGAAAATGCTCCCAACCACAGCTGACCAAACCCTGCTTTCAATAGGGATCCTTCTCACCGGTCCAGATCCTATTCCCCCTCCTTCCTGTAGCTCGTGGTTTAATTTAAACAGCTGTGGGATCAGGGTGATTAAGCAGACAATATTTTGCCCCCTGCATCTTTCAACTGGCACATTTCATGCATACTGGGGAGAGAAGGAAATAAATGTATTTAAAAGGAAACAAAAAACCAGGTATGACCCATCTAAAGTTAGGCAATTTAAAATCTCCCTGATTACAATGGAAGGGTCACCCACACACCCCTAATGCTGTTCCCTCTGATGTGTATGGGAATTAGAAGGGCATAAATTTGTCCAGATTGCACTGGACCCATTGCCTTGCATTTAAAGTATTTAAAGTATTATAACCTAGAGAAAGGAATACTGAGAGGTAATGTGATAGCCATTTTCAAATGTGTTTTTAAATGCTTTGGTTTCTGAATGCGCCTTGGAAGTCGAACATGCCATGCGGCTTCCGTATTGAGTTTTCTGTACAGAGGCTTCCGTACTGAGTTTTCGGTTTTTGAACGTTTTGGAACTGGGATGGTCTTCTGGGACAGATTACGTTCAAAAACCGAGGTACCACTGAAACGCTAGAAGAATTCGTTTCCATCCAAAATTCATCGGCCATCAAAATCAAATCTTGCTTTTGTTTGTTTTGGTTTTTTAAAAAAGGACTGTGAAATCAAGAAATCAGCTCACTTCAGGCAGACTTTACTAAGCTTCCCGAACTTCACGGAGGAATGCAACCTGCCAAGCCTTGCCCTGGGAACCCCAGTTCAGAGTCTTGGGGCTGTTGCTTCTGAAAAGCGCAAGACTGAAACATTAACTGCTTACTCAACAATGGTAATGGTTGTTGCTTTTTCCTATTTGGTTAGTGGAACCTCGCCTCCTCACAAACCCCTCATGGCCTCCCCAGATCTGCTCCAGAGGTTTGTGGGGAAATCCGGAAGAGATTTACAGGGCACATAGAGGAGAAAGTTCCACTGCACAGCCATAAGTCCTCACACTAATGGAACTGCATGGCTGACTATTGCTCTAGGTCTGGACCCAACTGTTTTGAAATGTGGCACTTAGCTGTTTTAGCACCCTTTGCTTCTCTTTCTAGACCCTCCTAGAACATCCCCAGATCTTTTTGCACCCCAGTGTAAAGTGCTGAAAAACAGACTGTGCTGTATTGAGAACGGATGTTATGAATCAAGCTCTGCTTGAGAATCATTTAGATTCCCTATCTCATGGAGAAAGCAGGGGTAGATACAAAGGATTTCTTTTTGCTCTGAAGCACTTTGTTTTGCTTTCTGTACGTGTAGAAAAGAGACCAAGCGCACTTTTATTGTTGTTGGAATTCCTATTCCAGTTAAAATAAATGGAATGAAAATTGAATGTATAATCAGCTCCCAGGAAAGAGATTCTGGCCTCCGCAGTTGAAAAACGAGTTGTGAAGACAGATGTAGCAAAAACGGTTCCAAGAATTGGTGTGAACTTGTAGGGGGGCTTTTTTTTTTTGGTTGTTGTTTAACCGAGAAGCTATTTTTACAGAAGAGGCCGAGCTATGAGAGTCTGACTACAAATTCCATAGCCAAACCTTTGCCAACACTCACGATATTTCAAAGAAATATGTCAGTCTAATCCAAGCTGACATTAAAACTCACTATTATCAGTTTTTAAGCAGAGACATTCAAATATCCATATTAGGGCAATGCCTTTAGTTGAGCAACCAAACAGGATTTTGTGATATTTCAGTCAGTAATATAAAGTCATTGCTCTAATGTGGATGTTTTATTTAAGTAATTTTTCTTTATTTTGGTAAAAACAAATACGTAAAACCCATGAAAACCACACAGAATATCAACCAATGATGAAAAGGGAACGTCCAACATTCTAAAGGCTGCAACAGAAGTCTAGTGTCCAGACCAAAAGAAGTAATAGCACCTCTCTATTCTGCCCTGGTCAGACCACACCTGGAATAATGTGTGCAGGTATGGGCAACACAATTTAAGAAGGATGTTGACAAGCTGGAATGTGTGCAGGGGAGGGCAACCAAAATAATTCAGAGTCTGGAAAATAAGCTCAGTAAGTTTTGAACTTGAAGTCCCACCAGCCCCAGTTAAGGTTGCCAGGCCTCCAGGGCTGACCAGGAGTTTCCAAGTATCATCATCATCATCAGTGCTTTTTTCTGAGGGGATGCAGACCCCTAAACATTTTGCGAATCTTTGTACTTTTGTCCATTTCCTGTACTTATATTTCCCGATCTGAACTATAAAATGGTGATTTTTCTTGAGTCAAAATGAGAGTACCCCGAAACATTTCTTAAATAAAAAAAATACACTGATAATAATAAAAGAATTGTCCAAGAGGTGGCTTAGAAAATGCACATTCCTACCCACTCAGGAATCAGCATATTTAAAGCTTATTTATGGTTTTGCCCCTCTCTGAGGTGCCTCAGCACCCACCACACATGTACACAAAAACTCGCTGTTGGAAAAGAATCTTTCTCCCAGCCTCATTACCATGGTCCTCAAAAATGAATTATTAAAAAAGGCAAGCACCATCTTTTATGCCTATAGGCAACTGGAACAAAATTCAGTAGAGTCGTACCTTGGATCCCGAACGCCTTGGTTCTCGGACGTTTTGGCTCCTGAACGCCGCAAACCCAGAAGTGAGTGTTCCGGTTTGCGAATGTTCTTTGGAACCCGAACGTCCGACAGGGCTTCCGATTGGCTGCAGGAGCTTCCAATCAGAAGCCGCGCTTTGGTTTCTGAACGTTTTGGAAGCCGAACGGACTTCCGGAACGGATTCCGTTCAACTTCCAAGGTATGAATGTATTAAAGCCCATGGAGGTATAACAGGTGTCTGTGGAACACGAGAGCAGAATACTCAAGGAGCAAAAGGACGTTGCCTGATACAGAGTCAGATCACTGGCCCACTGCCTACACTGACCGGCAGCCAGAGTTTCAAGCAGGGGATTCTCCCAGCTCCTACCTGGAGATTCTAGGGATCACCCTCGAGACCTTTGACACGCAAAGCATGTTCCCTCCCCCTCAGACACGACCCTCTCCTGGGAGCCACTTACCTGCCAATTCTTTTTCACAGCCCGCTGTGTCTGAATTTGAGCTGCCCGCCTCAGGACCGCCGGCTGGTTCACTCGGACTCTCGCAAGCCAGCTGAGGTCTGTGAGGAAAAGTGCCTAGTTCCGTTTAGTACATTTATTATTATTATTATTTTGAATGTATTCTTATTGCATCGCATCTATGTAACCCAAATAATAAAGCAGAACAAAGACGTAAAAACTAAACCAAACCAAATCAATAAGCAACATGGCACCCCCAGATCTGCTGCTTGGTGCCTATTAAGGCCCTTTGCCCCACTCTTTATTTTTTCCTTTTGAAATTATATTTAGGATTGTTTGGGGTCCTGTCCCCCACCTTTTTACCCTGGGCAGCAGCTGGCAGGGTGGACAGATCCATGCACAAGAACTTTCCCCAAACTGCAAAGGATGAAAGGCGAAACTTTGCAATGATGGTGATGATGATGATGATTATCCTCATCATTTGTATGCTGCCCATCTAACTGAGTTGCCCCAGCCACTCTGGCCACTTTTGCACACATCACCCAAATTCAGTAGCCTTTCTTATCCACATGCAAGTTTAATCAGAATTAAATTCTGCAAGGAAGAAAACCACAATTTCAATCCCTGAGCCGTTTTGCAGTGTGATGTCCATGCCAGTTTCTCAGATTTCAAAATGTGTCACCCGGGGACTGGAAAAGTTGGGGACCTATGCCCTCTTTTGAGAACTGCTTCACAAATAAAGTCCCCCCCCCATAGTAAAAAAGGTAAAGAGAACCCTGACCACTAGGTCCAGTCGTGGCCGACGCTGGTGTTGCAGTGCTCATCTCACTTTATTGGCGTACAGCTTCCGGGTCATGTGGCCAGCATGACTAAGCTGCTTCTGGCGAACCAGAGCAGCGCACGGAAACATCGTTTACCTTCCCGCTGGAGTGGTACCTATTTATCTACTTGCACTCTGACGTGCTTTCGAACTGCTAGGTTGGCAGGAGCAGGGACCGAGCAACAGGAGCTCACCCCGTCGCGGGGATTCGAACCGCCGACCTTCTGATCAGCAAGTCCTAGGCTCTATGATTTAACCCACAGCGCCACCAGTGTCCCCCCCATATACTATACACAGATTATTCCTAGGTAAGCAGGAGAAGCACATGTTATTATTAACTTGATTTCTTACTTGCCGTTCACCGTAAGGTCCCAGGACAGCTCACATCAATTTAAAAATAGAGTATTGAAACCTATTTTTTTTAAAAAAATAATTCACTCAATAGAAAAGAGTGGCTCCTAAAAAAATATGCATTTCAGGTATACAAGGCCTGGGAAAGATGTGCAACCCTCCGTTTGATACTGCTGTTTCAGAGTCCAGCTTTCCAGGCAAATGCAGGTCAGAAATCTGGATATATTGGGAGGGGGGAATTATGTGTGAATCATCTCAAGTACCTGCCAAAGGAGGAGCAGGGAAGCAGCTTAGATATTCATTAAACATGGAGCGTGAATAGTACCATTTTTTATATGTCATCTGCTCCATCTAAATATTCATGGGGCTTCAGGGATAAAAGTAATTAAAGCAGTTAAACTACAGCTAATTAGCCAACTTTCTTTTAATCCTCCTCTGGAAAAAAAGAGAGAATGTTTTACTCCCTCTGAAGACGTGTCCAAAAAAGAAGAAGAGAGAGTGGGGGGAAAACAATCTTCAAAACTGTATTTAGAAGTTTCATAGGAGAGTCTATCTTTCTTTTTTTCTTTTCTTTTTTAACTTGAGGGCCTGTGACTGTAGGCAGCTTGGCCCATTATGCCTCAGGGTACGGCAGCATAGCTGGTGTTGCGCCAAAGAGAAAAGGACGTTAATAAGATAGCTTTGAACTGGATGGCTACAGAGTACAGGCGAATTCTCTTTAATTGGTATAAAACGGTGCCAACCCACGAAGCGGCGGGTAGTGGAATATCTGCCCAAATGGCTGGCAATGAAGTGCTATACTTCATGAGAGGAGAGATGATAGCTGTCTTCACAGATCTCAAGGGCTGACACATGGAAGATGGAGCCAGCTTGTTTTCTCCTGCTCCGGAGGGTAGAACGGATGACTTCAAGTTACACTACTGAGCAAGGGGGATCCAAGGCCTGTCTTGGTAGAGGCGAGATTTCTATAAGCATCCAGAGATACCCATTTTAGACATCTACGGCACACTGACAGCCTTAAAAAGATGTTGGACGCCAACTCCCATTAGCGCCAGTCAGCATGGCCCAGTAGACAGGGATCGTGGGAGTTGGAGTTCAACACCACCTGGAAGTCAGAGGTCCCCATCCCTGGCCTAGCACCTCCACTTAGAAAGATCAGGTAGCAGATAATAGGAAATGGGCTCACCCCTAATCCCGAGACTCTGGCTCCTGCCAGTCAAAGTAGACAATAATGGGCTGGAGGGTCAACTCATCTGATCTGGTGTAAGAGAGCTTACCATGTTCCCTACAATACTCAGGATTTATTCACAGGGCCTTCTCAGTTGTGGCCCCAACACACTCTGTCTTTTGAGGACCCCCAAAATCTAGGGCTGGATTTCTACCCTCAGACAGTTCTTCGGTGATATTTTGCAATTGTAGATGAATGGTGACTTTCTGTTCCATTCGCAGTCGTGAGCGTTCTTAGAATTTAATCTTTGATTTTTTTATATGCATTGAGTTTTTGTTTGCTTTTTTGGTTACCTTTTTAAAAAGCTCTTAGGACTCGTTAGCTTACCTGAGTGAGCCTGGATTGCTAACCTGTATATGTGATGGTTTTGCCTTGCAATCTCTACATTTTTGGGACGTTGTTTTTCAAATACATATACAGTGGTACCTCGGGTTAAGTACTTAATTCATTCTGGAGGTCCGTTCTTAACCTGAAACTGTTCTTAACCCGAAGCACCACTTTAGCTAATGGGGCCTCCAGCTGCTGCAGCACCACTACTGCACAATTTCTGTTCTCATCCTGAAGCAAAGTTCTTAATGCGAGGTAATATTTCTGGGTTAGCAGAGTCTGTAACCTGAAGCGTATGTAACCTGAAGCGTATGTAACCCAAGGTACCACTGTATCCTGATTAGAGTTATAATTCCTTTGTAGTGCATAACAAGGCATTAAACCAGGCATAGGCAAACTCCGGCACTCCAGATGTTTGGGACTACAACTCCCATCATCTCTAGCTAACAGGACCAGTGGTCAGGGATGATGGGAGTTGTAGTCCCAAATGTCTGGAGGGCCGGAGTTTGCCTATGCCTGCACTAAACCTATTACTGCCTTTTCCATTACTCGATCTTTGAACTTGCAAGCTTCTTTTACTATCCCTATATACTCAGGGTGTACCAAATACACGTACCAAATCTGGTGCACTCAAGATGCTTCTGGACTCCCGTGACCACTGCTCATGCTGGCTAGGGCTGATAAGAGATTATTATTATAATTATTTATTTGTATAAACCCTTGGAGTGTCTGGGGTGGTAGGGGAGTAGTAGTAGCTCTGGCAGGGTGTTCCTTCTGGTGTAATATGTTCACCTTTTGTAGACTGAGCTCCTAGAAAGTGTCAGCAAGTGACAGTGGTCACACCCTGAGAACGGCTTTGACTGGCTGGTTAAACCAGGTGAGGGTAGCCGATGGGTCTAAAACCCTCAGTGAGTTAGGGACTTCCCCTCCAGCAGATTGAGAAAATGAGACCAATAGTGGGTCAAACGGTCAAGAAGGCATTTTCTGCACATGCTGTAGACACAGCATTTCTCAACCTGTGGGTCCCCAGATGTTGCTGGACTACAACTCCCATCATCCCTGAGCTCTGGCCTTGCTAGCCAGGGGTGATGGGAGTTGTAGTTCAACGACATCTGGGGCCCCACAGGTTGAGAAAGGCTGCGTAGAGGGAAGTGAGGGGCAAATGCGGCTCATCAACCCGGGAAGGTAGCCCATCTAGGAGAAGGAAAACTCTGATCCTAAACCTCTGCTGCCCTGTGGAGTATCTTCAGATGAAAAGGCTCAGGAGTGAAACCCCACAGATATCTGGAACGGAGTCCCTAAGACAGTTTGGACGGCACCTTGTACGCCTCCTTCTGGCAACTCCTGCAGCCAAGCTGATGTGGTCCAGAGGAAAGTAGAGCAATACGTTTGGCATCAGCCTCCGTAATGATTAGATGATGCCTTGCATGCTGGTGCCAGATGTGCTGCTCTACTTTCCTTTGGACCACATCAGCAAGGCCCCCAGGGTGGGGTGCATGTTCTTGATGTCCTGGCAGCTGAGGACCTCCAGACACACTGCTCAGCCTCACACCCCAAGGAGCTCACTTTGGAGCTGGTAATGCGGCAATTTGATTTCACCCTCAGAGCCACTGTCTCTCGAAACAGGCAGGGTGCATATGTACAGTGGTACCTCAGGTTACATATGCATTCAGGTTACATACGCTTCAGGTTACAGACTCCGCTAACCCAGAAATAGTACCTCGGGTTAAGATCTTTGCTTCCGGATGAGAACAGAAATTGTGCTCCGGCGGCACGGCAGCAGCAGGAGGCCCCATTAGCTAAAGTGGTGCTTCAGGTTAAGGACAGTTTCAGGTTAAGAACGGACCCCCAGAACGAATTAAGTACTTGACCTGAGGTACCACTGTATATGTAATAATAATAATAATAACTTGCAGTTTTTGCAAGAGGATCCATGCACCAAATTTCCACCAATGAACTAAACCCACGTGCGATTCAGATAGATCTGCTCCCCTGGTGTGGACTTTAAACCCTTTCATAACAAGAGGAATTTTGCCAAGGATGACCAAAGCTGAAAAGGAAGGCAGCTACAGTGGTGCCTCACAAGACGAAATTAATCCGTTCCGCGAGTGTCTTCGTCTAGCGGTTTTTTCGTCTTGCGAAGCAACCCTATTAGCGGCTTAACGGATTAGCGCTATTAGCGGTTTAGCGGCTATTAAAGGCTTAAAGGCTTAGCGGATTAGCTGCTAAAAGGCTATTAAAGGCTTAGCGGCTTAGATAAAGGGGGGGGGAAAGCGAAACCAAAATCTCAAGACTCGCAAGACATTTTCGTCTTGCGAAGCAAGCCCATAGGGAAACTCGTCCTGCGAAGCAACTCAAAAACGGAAAACCCTTTCGTCTAGCAGGTTTTCCGTCTTGCTAGGCATTCGTCTTGCGGGGCACCACTGTACCTCCACAATACCTGCGTAGCAGAAGGAGTTTAGAAAAGTGGATTCCCACAACCACCCTTCACAAGCTGCAGCTACGAAAGTTTCTCTTCTCTCCCCCAACTATTACAAAGTGCAGAATTCTTTTCTTCCTGGGGTCACCAGCAAGCTTGGGCAGTAAATAAAGCAGATTGACTAAGGTGAAAGTGCCACTGACCTCAGCAGTGTTGCCTCTCCATAAATACGTCTCATCTGCAGTTAGCATGCTGCCCTTAAGACTTGGGAGACCAGGGTTCAAATCCCCACTCAAACAAAGCTTACTGGGCCATTTGCCAGCTCTCAACCTGACCTACCTTGTCTGGCTGTTGTGAGGATAAGACAAAGAGTGCTGCTTTGAGCTGCCCCTCTGAGGAAGGACAGGATACTCATAAATAATAATAATAATAATACTTAATATGCTAGTGATTAGGATTGCACAGCATGCTCTCACTGGATAGCAAATCTTATTAGCAGAATTTAAGGACATATACAGAAAATTGCACTGTTGGATACTGTATGTAGACAGTGGAAGACTTAAAATATTTTTGGATTCTGGAATGCGGGGTCTTGCCAAGCCAGTTGAAAAGTGGGACACCCCCCCCAAAAAAAAATAAGCCAGTCCTGTTGCATCTGGGGAGGGGTCACCCCTAATGAATGCGCCCCCTGACAGCACCGATGCGTATCCTTAACCAGGCACAGAATGTCCCAAACCCAGTGGGGCTTCTCCTGCAATCCCAGCCCCCCATTGACCTGGAAGTAAGCCACGCTGAACTGAGCAGGGCTTGCGTCTAAACGGGCACAGCTGGGATTGCTTGTGAGTAAGCACGCGCGGGGCTTGCAACGACCCTGGCGCCTGCCTGCGCCCTCCCGCTCGGCAGCAACCGAGCCAGCCTTACCTAGCGCCGTGCCCTGGTTCCTAGCAGCCATGATCGTAGCAAACCCGCCTCTCCTTCCAAGCTTCCTGCACTTCCTGCTCTGCGTTTCCTCCTCCTCTTCCTGCTGCCTCAACCCGCCTCCCCCCCGTGCAAAAGAGTCTTTGCAAAGTCCGCGCCGAGTGGTGGGTTGGGCAATGCAAAGCAGGCTTTTCGTTTTGCTGCGCTTGCAAGCCGGCCTCAATCTTCCGCTGTTTTGCTTTCAAGTGCAACGTTTCCCAGCATCTTAAAAAGCAGAGACATCACCTTGGCGACAAAGGTCCGTATAGTTAAAGCTATGGTTTTCCCAGTAGTGATGTGTGGAAGTGAGAGCTGGACCATCAAGAAAGCTGATCGCCGAAGAATTGATGCTTTTGAATTCTGGTGCTGGAGGAGACTCTTGAGAGTCCCATGGACTGCAAGAAGATCAAACCTCTCCATTCTTAAGGAAATCAGCCCTGAGTGCTCACTGGAAGGACAGATCGTGAAGCTGAGGCTCCAATACTTTGGCCACCTCATGAGAAGACTCCTGGGAAAAGACCCTGATGTTGGGACAGATGGAGGGCACAAGGAGAAGGGGACAACAAAGGACGAGATGGTTGGACAGTGTTCTCGAAGCTACCAGCATGAGTTTGACCAAACTGTGGGAGGCAGTGGAAGACAGGAGTGCCTGGCATGCTCTGGTCCATGGGGTCACAAAGAGTCGGACACGACTAAACAACAAGCAATGTTTCCCACTGCTTGTTTGAATCTGACGTTTGCAGCAGGATCTGTTCGCCCTGCAGCCGGATCCCAGGCAGACTTGACTCTGGAACACATGCCCCTCATTTGCCATGGGAACCTAGGAAGCTGCCTTTGGATAAGAGTCAAAACCATCGGTTCTCCGCCTTTCTCAGTCGCCTTTCTCAGTCGTGTATGCACTGACTGCCAGCAGCCACACACACACACACACGCACACAACCGGTTTCCAGGCAAAGGTCTTCCCCTTAGTCCTATCTGGAGATGCCGGCCTGGGCTTGCATTTGGGACCTTCTGTATGCAAGGCAATCTGCAAATGTGGCAGTCCCTAAATTGTGGGGATTCTCTCTGCAGAAGTGCGCTTGGCACCACGTATAGCTTTCCTCGTATGCTGAATTCGCACCTCTTTAACCTGGCCTTTGGCACTTGATATATGTGTGTGTGTTTTTTTAGGATCCACTTTAGTGCAATTTGTTTCAAACTGAAGTCTGTAAGCCCTGTCTTTGGCGAGAAGATTCCTGCATTGCATTCCTCCAAGGAGCTCAAGGCGGTGTACATAGCAGATGGAGCAGGGTTCTGGGTTTCCATCCCACCCCCACCTCGAGCCAATTTCAGGGGGAACACGGGGAGTTGGGGGGAAACCACCCAGCCTCTTGGGCTTGCCAATCAGAAGGTCGACGGTTCAAATCCCTGCAATGGGGTGAGCTCCCATTGCTCTGTCCCAGCTTCTGCCAACCTAGTTCAAAAGCAAACCAGCACGAGTAAATAGGTACGGCTGCAACAGGAAGGTAAAAGGCATTTCCATGCGCTCTGGCAACTTGTCAGAGTCCCGTGCGCCAGAAGTGGTTTGGTCATGCTGGCCACATGACCTGGAAAAGCTGTCTGCAGACAAACACCCATTCCCTTAGCCTGAAAGGGGAGATGAGTGCTGCACCCCATAGCCAAATTTGACTGGGCTTAACTGTTCAGGGTCCTTTACCTTTACAAGAACCCTTGTGCAGGGCTTCCAGACAGAGTTCACTAGCTGAATCCAGTTGGGAGACCTCAGACACACAGATAGGCAAGGTAACATCACACAGCGCTAAGCTTGCAGTTTTGTCCCCATTGCCTACAGTGAGTTTCAGCCAAAAGTATAGGCACCATCCTATTGCCAACACACATTTGGTGTAGCAGACCAATGATGGATAGGGTGAGCCAGACACAATATTTTAAAAATGTAAGATACATGAGAACTCTGCTGTATATATTTCCTTTGAACCATACTCTACAATAAAGCTGATGAACAGCTTTTCCATGGATGTTTCAACTTTTAGAAAGCAAGTATAGCTCAATAGTATTTTACTGAGAACCCTTTGCTTAGTGGAGTATTGGGGAACTGGTGACCTTTCAGCTGTTTTTGTTTGTTTGTTTTGTTTTTTGCTACCCGACCAAGTTACCTGGGAATAATGGGAGTTGGGAATCCAACATCATCTGAAATGCAATTCCACCTCTGCCCCAGTGGGACACAGATACCACCACTCATGCAGAACTCATACTGATATAAAAACTGGAAGGGAGAATGAGGCAGGAGCAATGTGCAGCGGCTGTGCTACACAACAGCTGAGGAAGGTTAGTATTGAAAAACAGCTTGGTCTAGACCTAAGTGACATTATCACAAAGTAACAGCTCATGTTTGGTTATTTTGATTTGGAACTGCAGAATTTCAGTACTACCCTTGATTGTTGTTTTCTACTGTTCGTCATCCATTGGCACAGTGGTACAAGTTAAAGAACAGCTACACCCTCTGAATTACCCGATGAGATAATTCTACATTCTAGATGCTCTTGAACAGGCCCCCAAACACAGAGTTCCATTAATTCTATGTTCTCAAACTGTGTTTTCGTCCTTTTCAATCTTTTTCACACCTTTCCCATAAAGTGATAAGTATTTAAATACTCCTACCCGATACTATCCTTTTGATTTTTTTGGCTTCCCACCACCCGTTTATTCCTTTAAAAACGCTTTTCAGAAACCTTATCAAAATAGAACTGTCGTTATCTAGAAGATCAGGGTCTTCTTGGAATGTACAGCTTTGGCCACAAATACATGAAGCATTCCAAACACATTAGGATATTTGCAAGTTGCCTGTATAATTGCACGTATGCACATTTAACTTGTGCACACTCAGTTTTATGCACTTGGCAATAAAAAACAAAAATAAAAACGAAGCAGAAAAGGGGTGGGCATAGAGGAAAAGAAGACTTGGGCAATCCCCCCCCCCCCAGTTGAACACAGTGTGACTATACACAATTTTGGCTTCACACACTAACCCTGGAACATAACCCCATATAAGTTGAGTTTCACCTGTATATATATATATATATATGAAAGGCTCATTTATATTTATTCTCCAGTTAATACAGATGGCCCCCTCAAAAACCACAACTTTATTCCTATACACCATATGTATAATCTGATGACACACAATAGACCAAATTTAAATCGGGGGAAAACAAAACTTATTTCTGGTGTAGAAAGCGGATGCTACTGGGAGAAATTAAGATGGAAGATTGGCCCAATATTGTTATTTTAGAGAGAAGGTTGATTAAATAAATTCGCCAAGGTGGAGTGGGGAAAATAAAAGCCTGAAGCAGAAGCGAATTCAGCCACCTACATGCAAAAACTACCACCAGTTATAGCAGACTTATCTCATTAAAACCTCAAAAATGCTCAGTGCTGTTAGTGAACAGATGAGTTAGCTTGTACAGTTTATAAGCTCTCTAAAGAGGGTTGTTGTAGAGGCATTTTATTTATTTAGATGGTTGAAAACAGATTATTTAGATGTGGTGTACAACAAAAGGGGAAAAAACCAAATCCGCTGTTTTTCCACATAACCCTATCTTTTTTGCCAATTCTTTCCACTTTCAGAGAACACTCTACTAGAAGCCATTACATTTCTCCTCAATTATTAACACTATACTGAGTTAACCACAGTTGGAGAAACTGGGTCTCGGCTGCCATGTTACATTCAGACATACAACAGGCAGTGGCGCTAGAAGATAGCGAAAAACCGTTACTGCTCATCTCATTCAATACTCTCAGCTCTCTTGAAAGACAGCCAGTTCCAATACATTCTCATCAATTACTGCCCATCTTTGCCTTGGGGTACAGTGTGCACCCTGGGACGCTGCTGCATTCCACTGCTTCCTTGATTTAGTCTCAAAATGTCCATATGTTGCCATTGACAGCTGCGAACTTAAGCCTTAACTTCAGGAGTTGTGCTGTAGATGGAATCTGAGTTTTCAGAGCCAAGGTCTTCTGCCGAGTCAAGAAAGGAAACACCGACATAATTAATTTTCAGCAGGCAGATAAATTCATCTACTTTATTCAAGCATTCTGTCACACAATTATTTCAGGTGCTCTTATCTATACTTAACAAACAGCATTGCACTCATTAAGTGTGCAGCCCAATCATGGCTCTAGCAATGCCGTTTTGGCCACAATAGCAGCATCTGGTACATACTTGTCCCCGTTCACTGTTAAAATGGAGGGAAACTACCCTATTATGACTTCTAGACAGCCCTTGGAGCCATCTCAGATCACAAGGAGCTAGCTGCTTCTCGGCCACCACTCGCTTCCCCAAAAGGGTCTTCCTTGCACTCTTTCACTTGGTTTTTGAAGTTCCTGAAACTACATGGCTAAGCATGGGGTAGGGGGTATGGACCACTACTTGTAGTGTTCTAACATTTCACACTGGTTCCTATTCCACACCCACAACCCGCTTCCCCCCAACTGACTTAACACACTACACCATAAAAACATATGTTGAGGCCATTATCTAAATTACTCTGGCCGGACCCCAGCACAGCTGTCAGCTCATTACCTAGGTCTTCCTCCGCAGTTCCTGGAAGGTTGGCCTTTGATTTCGCCAGCTCTACACCTTCTTCTTCTACAGGGAAAGAAAACAAGAGTCCTCTTTTCGTATGCTCAAACATGCCAAACTTTGTTGTAAAAAGCGTAAATGTCTGCTGTAGAACTGCAGGAATTCTGCAATTCACCAAGCAAATGGCATCACTGCTTTTCTGTATTTGTTGAATTCACCAGTGTGCTTTTCCATTATACGAAAACTATGCTTTATGAGCCAATTTCAAGCAACTCATTGACGTGATCAAAAGGTGGCTTGCCGTCCTCTTCCAATTTTGGAAGGCCAACAGCAGCAAAAATAAATTTTAAAAAATCAGGAACTAAAGTGAAGTATGTATACTTCTAAGGTAGCAAAACTTTGTCCAGGCTGCACCCTCTTCCTCAAGATGGCTTGTGTAGGCTCACACAGCAATCAATGCTGATCCATAACACACACACAAACCAACCAAAGAGAAAACTAAATGTTAAGCAGGAAGATTAAGCTCTATCTAGACTTCTCACCCACAAGTCTGTTGTGTGGGCAGATTTGTTTCATTCTTTGGTGTAGAGGAGCGCACACCATGTGAGCCCACACCTGCTCTATAAACAGGGACAGTCTAGAGGTTTACCACCTAGGCTTTAACTGATAACAGTTAAAAGATGTTCTGCTGGTATGCAATTCAGTAAGGTGCCAACAAGCTATTCAAGTAACGGAGTAAGATTATTATTACTATAAAACTGCACTGAAAACATTAGCTTCTTGGATTTTACAGTGCACTTTTGTTCCACCAGTTCTTACCAGGGATCACACATTTCCAGAGACCGTACGTTTTCCCGACTGTTGTCTGCCACAGTCTTAGCGTTCCATCCTCAGAGCCACTAGAATACAACTCTCCGTCTGGGCTAAATCTGACACAGTGAATAGGCCCAAAGTGCCCCTTGTAAGATTCTGCAGGGAAATGACAAACCAATGACTTTTCAGGCAACAAGGAATGCATGTGCTTTAACATGTAGGCTTAGGAATTCAGGAAGAAAAATAATGTCTTGGTTCCTTAGCGGTTGGGCTTTGTAAATGAATTTACTGGTCCAAGTCATAGGAGGACAGTAATGAGGCCCCAACTGTTTATAACACGAAGAAGCCCCCACCTACTTTGTGTGATATGGAGAGGTGCTCCACCACTAAGGGTATGGCTTGCCATCCAAACGTGGATGTGATACTACAGCAACCACAAAGTTTCCTTGAACATTTTACTCTCAGCATGGAAACATCAAAAAGAACTGCCTGCAGCTATCAGATGGTCACTAGAATCAGAAACTCAAGCTTCAATCTGGGCACTTGCTTAGCTTGAGATATTCCTTACCCAACAGCTATGCACAGAAGACAACCTGCAAGGCCAAACTAATGATGGCTAAAAAGTTCCCAGAACATGAATAATTCTTAGTCAACACTTGAGCCACTTTGCAAGCTCTTAAATTTCATTTCCCCTTGGCCTGGCTACATGCCTCCTACTGGTCAGAAGTTGTTGCCAGGGAATGTACCGTATTTTTCGCTCTATAGGACGCACTTTCCCCCTCCAAAAATTGAGGGAAAATGTGTGTGCGTCCTATGGAGCGAATGCAGGCTCCTTGGCTTCAGCAATAGCAATGCTAAGCCTCCGAAGCGCAGAGGGAGCGCTCCCTTCGTGCTCTGGAGGCTTCGCGTTGCTTTCGCTGAAGCCTGGAGAGCGAGAGGCATCGGTGCGCACCGACCCCTCTCGCTCTCCAGGCTTCAGGGATAGCCGCACACAGCCCCTCCGGCAGGAAGAGGCTGCACGCGGCTATGGCTTCTTTAGGTGTGCCCTATGGTCCAGTGCGCCCTATGGAGCGAAAAATACGGTACTTCTTTTGGGTTTCCCTTACCTCCCCACTAAATAGTATGCATAGGGTTTCCCCCATTCTTCTTGCACCCCATTTCTTCCAGCAGCCAGCACTGAATAAAAGATGTGAGTGTAGGGAAAGGCCACCTCGGGAGGGAACGATTGGGAAGTAACAAGAGATGGTTGCGCATCACTTTTGTCTCTTTGGGATCTTAGCCATACAAAGACTGATCAACTTTGGTTATCTGGACAGCAATTACAGTCAAGGTCAAATTTAACTAATCCTATTAAAGCCTGCTGTTCTGACTAAAGTGCAATGACAATCTGAGGAAGTTTGTGAAAGTGAGCCTACACACATACACACAGACCAAGAGAAGGAAAATGAAATGTGTCTTTATAACAATGGCTTGGGAAGTTACCGTCTCTTCATTATACTGATCGTGAGAAAACCTGAAGGCTCCAACCTTTGGAATGACCAGTTAAGCAGGTTTTATATTTTAACAAGAATGCAAATGATAAAAACATGCTCTGGAGGTATTTCGAAACCTGTTGGAACGTACCTAGTTCTTCACCAGTATTATAATCATACTTATAAAGTTTAAAGTCCTCGCCACCCGCAACTAGACATTCTTTCTCAGGGTGAAGGGATGCAGAATTAATTGTTGCAGGAGCCTCAAAGGATTTAATCTGTTCCAGACTAAAGAAGGGAAGGAAAATGCATTAAAAACTAGAACTGGACTCTCCACAGAACCATATACCAATGCATTAAAAAACCCAAACCCACAAAAGGTGGAATTCCATATAGAGGACTTTCACCCACTTACTAAGCCAGGGTCTTCTCAGATTTTTCTACCTGTTCTAGCAATAGTAATATTTTGTGCTAGTTGTTGTATGATTAACTGGATTTTTATGGCTGCATTTCATTGTATATTACCAGGCCTTTAATTGACTGATTTTAGTGCCACTCTCATTTTGGGTGTTTTTAGTGCTTTGTGTTTATCCTGATGTGTTTTTGCTATGTTTATGTTTTGGCAGCAGGTTCAGAAATTATTATTTAAAAGCAAGGTAAGCTTTAAAATTAAGTAAGATGAAACCATTTCACTCACAGGAGAAAAACCAAGGTTGTGAAAGTTTCCCAATCTGAATGATGAACTGCACATCCTTAATCAAGACTACAGAGACTTTCTTCAGGATTCAAAGAACTAAGGATTATATCCAATGCTAGTTCTCAGAGCAGACCCATTGAAATTAATGGTTGATCAATTTCAATGGGTCTCCTCTGAAAAGAACTTAAGTTAGATAAAACATGAAGTATTTCTGAAGGGATATATATTAGCTCTAGTATGGCAATATACACACACTTCTCATCTGTTTGCGCTACTCCAAAAAGTTGCCAATTAAGTTTGTTTCTTTCAAAACTAACCACATTAAAAACTCAACTTACGTTTCTGCACTGTGGAAGGCGATTGTTTTTCCATAGGTGATTACTATTATCTCCCCTTCTGGAATATATTCCATACTGCTGACAGACATAGCAACATTTATTGCTTTTATTTCTGTAAATGTATTTCTGTCCCAGAGTCTGCATCAGAGACACAAAGGTAAAAATCTGTTTAGCTTATCACAAGACCAGCGCCATAGGTTAGATCTCCAAAGCCCTTTGGGTTGCATGCTTCCCTGCACTGTCATCACCTCCCCCAAGACATTTAGAGTATGGCTTAAGAGAATTTCACGGTTTCCCTCCCAAGAAGCTCTGTGATTCTTCTTGCTTCTCAGCCTGGCAAACAAATTGCAGCTTTTTATGCACTTAAGCATTGTACACCTTACGTAAATCTGGCAATATTTAAGTCTGTCCTTTCCTGGTGCAGGGGACTGTATTGTGAGACATGTACTCTGCTGAATAGCTCAGTCAATAGAGCATGAGACTCTTAATCTCAGGGTTGTGAGTTTGAGCCCCACACTGGTGGTGGGGGGGGAATCCTGCACTGCAGGGGGTTGGACTAGATGACTCTTACGACCCTTTCAACTCTACAATTCTATGGTTCTAGGAGAGAGCACATCAGCTGAAAAGCTAATTATATATATTTGAATTCAAAAGAGGGCCCTATAATGAACACCAATTCCAGAAACACAAAAGGCAGCTCTGGTGAAAGGGAGGTATTTGTTCCTTCCTACCTGACAGTTTTGTCATCTGCTGAAAGGATCTGTCTGTCATCACTGCTCCACAGAGCCTTTTTAATCCCAGACGTGTGGCCACTGACGATTTGAGGGTCTAAACAGTAGGGGAAATACTGTGTTATTTCAAAAGATCTCTTCTAGCCATGCACTTCATCAAGGTAGTTTTCTCAACATGACTTACAATCAATACGAAGCAAATGTACTGAGAGATTAGTGGCAATACAGATAAGCACCGCACATGAGATATTTTATTCCCCTGCATATAACTACATAGTGTAATTGCAAAGGGCTGCGAAAAATGATCTTCAGTGCAAATTCCCAAACTTAGTGTGACAGGAATGAACTGCAGTAGCTGCAGCATAACCACAAGTAGATCAGAAGCATACAGGGCAACCAAAGCAGTTTGTACCAAAACCAGGCATATACCCCAATTGAAATGGATCTAGTAAATCAAGTTTCCTCCTGGGGTGGCTGGATCTGGTCCACAATCATCTGCTCAAGAACCTTGCCCAAGAAGGGGAGAGTAGCGACTGGCTGGTAGTTACTTAAGAGTTTCCGAATTCAGGGTTTCTTGAGGAGTGATTTTCTGAGCACCTTGTCCACATCCTCAAGACTTACTAGCTGAAACTCACCCAACACAACAGGGCCAGACACCCCTTGAGATTCATCTGCTACAACAGCATAGTCAAGATTCCGGCTGATGCAACAAGTTTGTTCTCAAAATGCTTTGCAAACAAGTCACAGTGAGCTACAGTCGGTTCCACCACCTCTTTCGGACCATACTGTGAGAGGATCCAAGCTACCCGGAAAAGCTCTGCTGGACATCATAATGAGCCAGAAATGGAAGCATGGTATACTTTCTTTGCTGCCTTCACTGCCACATACAGCAGGGTATGAGGACTAATAAGTAAGGATGTGCCCTTACCCTACCCCAATCCCTAATGCAGCCTGGAAATCCAAAACACACTTTCTTTTTGGGGGGTGAGAAGAGGGGAGTGCTTTGCAAGGAAAGGCAACAGCTTGCAAAAGGCAGCTTTCTCCCTCTCCCGTTTCAGGAAAGGAAAAGTGTTTCCTCCATTACCTTTACTGGCAAAAATGACTTGTCTCTTCTCCCATCCCCATCATTTCTGCACACCCCACAAAAGTATTTTGACAAATGGGTGGGACACCCACCTGTCAATCATGTGACATTAGAATAATGGGATTGACAGCTGGGTTGTTCCACCCACCTGTCAAAGCTGGTCTGCGAAAAGGCTTCCCAACCCTCAAATAGTATAACTGGATGCAAAAGAATTTCAAAAAGAAATTATAATAATCAGTTTCACCTACTAACAGTAAAAACCCACCTGCCTCTGGCTTGCTTAAGTCATAGATACGCAACAGTTTATCTTGCCCACCTGTCAGCAGGTAATTGCTGTCCTAGAACAGAAAACGAAAGCCATTGTTTTAATTGGTGCAACAGTAATTAAACATCACTACTTTTAGACACTGGTTTTTAAAAGCAGTACTATTTCAGTTATCATTATTTTATTTAATACTAATAAAATCAGTACTAGTTCGGAATATGAAGCTGTTCGTATCATGCCCTTGAGAAAAACACAGGCAAACAAAGGCAGGCATTCAGCCCTGAAACAAAGATATTTAGTGTCTGTTTTACCTGAGTAAAGTCCACAGATTTGACAATGTGCTTGTGGGCTAAGGTGATTATTTCATCTCCTGAAACACCATCCCACACTTTGCTGAAAGGAAAAAACATAGTTATTGATATGATATATTCCAGACTTGAAATAAAGCTTTTATACAGCTCTTAAAGATTTCAGACACCAGGGGTGGGGGAAGATTCAAGTGCATTAAGTGAGCTGCAAATGTAAAGAACAGGGTAGGTTTTGGTGTTAGATTGAAGACTTTCACTTACGCAGTGAAATCTGCAGCTGCTGTAGCTGCTTTAGTGGCATCTTTATTCAAAGTGGCACCCCAGACAGCTCCTTTGTGACCCAGAAATGTTCCAATCCAATCTCCTGTGTCACCCTGGCGAAGCATAGGCTTTCCATCTAGACAAAAAGAAAAAAAGTAAAACATAGGAGTTTAGTTTATCAACCAACAATCTATATCAAATAAGCATAGAAAGAGCATCTGTGAAATTAGAATTCAATAGAGATTATCCAGCAAGAGATTTGAGCAAACCCACTGTAGGCTTCCTTGGTCATCTATATGTCACTATTCTTCTCTATGAAATTCACCCATCAAAGAACACTTGCTTTTACACAACCACTTATTTACAGAAGGGAAAAGCAAGGCAAGATCATGTGGGGGACTGGCAATTCATATTCAACCTCTGATTTAAATAAATGTTCAGGTGGTAAATCAGAGGTTGAAGGTAGGTTATTCCAGGATGATGGATCGTACCTACTACCTCTCAGTTGCCAGGGTAGGGGGGAATCACATATGATCTTTTAAGGCAGCACTGCAAATAAGTTTATGGAAATGTTTGGAAACTTGTCTCTTTTCTCAGGTTGACAGATTCAACATAGTTTTATATGTGCAGAGTGGAGGCACCAGGAATTTCTGCTCTATCCACCCCAACAAATCCCAATGGCTTTGCCTGTCTGCTTGCAAGAGCGCCAAGCAAAAAAGTTAATTGAAAGGCCACAATCCATTACAGGATTTAGGGGTGTTTCAAGCTCAGTTAAGCATGTTTATTCCAGCACTGAATGGTGGCTCAAGTGCCCAGTGTATAATGGATATGCATGTACTTTTTATATAAAAAAATTATACCTTAATGGAACTAATACATCAACAATATTTGGAAGGCTCTGGTGGCCCTTGCATCATTTAACAGTGTAACAATAAACTTTAAAGACTCAAAGCATTAGACACAGCTTTCCCAGACAATACCCTATCCAGGCACTGGCCAGCTTGACTTCAGCAATGTTTCTGAATGATTTAGTCGAGATTCCTGCATCACAGTGGATTGGACTAGATGACACTAGGAATTCCTTCAACTCTACAATTCTATGATTCTATAACCAGAACCATGGTATGCATATAGTTAAATATTAGGCACAGACACATTATGTGCCAAGTGATAAGTAAAGTGACTAACAAAATTGCTTATTATTGTCTCCATAATACCATCTACGTTTTTTACAAACATCAGCTTCAACAGGTCTCTACTCCCAAGGGCCTTACAATCTGGAAATAGAAACAACAGAGTAAAGGGAATAAAGGGAAAGCAGGTACAAAGAGGGGGTGGAAGCATTATTATTTGCACACACTCCAGCTTAACAGCTTTCCCTGTGAAGGATGCACCTTAAGCACAAACATAACTTTGAAGACCCACTTCTTAAATACTAACTCAACATGGCATTTGGGCAAGGAGGCTGTTCCAAAAGCTTTCCCAGATAAAGTATAAACCGCTGTCGTATTGTTCCAGTATTGTTTGATTCAACACTTATAGACTCACAGAATTGTAGTCAGAAGGGACTCTTGAGGGTCAACTAATCCAACTCAATGCAACACAGGAATGTTTTTGCCCAGCGTGAGGCTCGAACCCACAATCCTGTGATTAACAGCCTCATGTAAGTGTATACAGAGGTTTTGGGGGAGGTTGGTAAGCCAAGCAGCATAAAAGAAAGATAGGACTGTGGACACACCCAGGCATGAAGGAGGTTTGTTAAGAATGATTCTGTTCCCAGATCTGAAGGCTCCCTTAAAGCGGAAGATTGAAATGAAATGAAATACTTTATTGTCACTTGTACAACTTGTATACAGTGAGATTACACGAGCACCCCCCCTCAGCTCTCTTAGTCTTAATTCTCCTCGTTTACTGACGAACACCCACCAAACCCAAAAGTCAGTTGCTTATTATTATTAACAATATTTGTACACCACTCTTCATCCATAGATCTCAGGGCGGTTCGCAGCCTAATTTTCCGAATACCTGTACATAAAAACTTGAGATTATTATTATTATTATTATTGAAACAGGGGAGGGAGAGAGAATTCGCAGTATTATATCCATGCCTGCCACCCACCGGCCCCTCGCAAGGAAGCCCCCGCTGGCCCCTCGCCTCACCCTTGCAGGCGCTGATGAGGAAGTACCCGTAGGGGGTGATGCCGCTGAAGGCCAAATCCACCACAGGCCGCGTGTGGCCGGAGCACGTCAGCGGGGTCTGTCTCATCGCCATGGCGGCGGCGGCGGGAGGGAAGGAGCAGCGGGGGGAGAGGACGAGGAGGGCGACGCGAGGAAGGGCGAGGGGAGAAAAGAGGCCGCGGGAGGGACGGAGAAGGCGGCCGCGCCGGGGAAACGCCGCTCGCCCACAGCCACGCGCAACACTCTGGCCGCCAAGGGAAGGAGGGAGGGATAAGACGGCGCCGGCGCCGGAAGCGACGTCGTCAGAAATGGCCTCCGCCGGAAGTCCACGCCCATGTCGAAGGTAACCATAGCGACGCTTCCGGTTTCGCCCTAGAACACCATAGAGTTTCGGGGATGGAGCGGCACTCATGCTCTCTAGATCTATATCTATATATTTTAGATGACCAAGGGATATATATGAATTATAGAAATATGAATGTAGCGTTGGAATGGACCCCGAGGGTCCTATATTCCAAACAGGGATAGGTATGGGATTCGAACCCGCAAAGTTGGCTTTGTCAGCCCCATATCATATATACAGCTCGCAATCATTTTAAACCCGGAGCTAAGAAAGTGGAAGAAATAGGAAAGCGACTGTTGGGATTAAACTCCGCCCCCCAATTTAATTCCTTTTGTGAGGCTGTTTCTTTAAGAGGGGGAGGGACCCTCCTCAGGCCCCTGTGGGCCCATTGGGCGCACACCGCCGTACGTACTCTGACGCAACAGGTTGCAGCAAAGCGAAGGATGCGATAGGGTCCTCATGTGGTTGGGAGGACTGTACCACTTCAGCCTACAGCTGCGGGGGAAATACTGTATGTGAACAATTCCTTGCATTAAAAACAAAACAGGATGACATCTATTGTTTGTTTAACCCATTTATTCATTCATCTTTCAAAATGCAATCTTTCCTGGCTGGAACGTTGTTGTTGTTGTTGTTATTAAAAAAACGAAATACATGAATAATCCTCAAGGGCAGCTTAACATGAAAAGAAAATGCAAAAGCAATTAAAATACCAGTTAAAGGTGGTTAGGGGGTCAAGGTAAGACTGGAGAGAACCCAGGGTCAAATCCCTGCTCAGCTCTGAACCTCGCAGAGCAGCCTTGAGCCGCTTGCTTTAGCTCAGCCTAACCTACATCATAAGGTTGTTGTGAGGATAACAAGTACATAGACTAAAATACTAAAGCAGCTGGGCCTGAGGGTTTTTTTTGTTTTTGTTTTACTTTCCCCAAGTCACAAAGTACTGTATTCACATTCTCACAACACCTTTGTCTGTTGATTGGGTCAGGTTGATCATTGGGGTTGGGGGAGGATTGTTGTTTTAAATGAGAAATGTAACCAAATGATTGTGGCTGCACTGTTATTCCCAGCTTCCTGGGAGTAAGTACATCTGAGCATAGCAGATGTCTTCACCCTTTAAAGATCTAGGACCCACCGTCCTGAGAGCCTTGGATAAATAAATAACTCAAACCTGCATTTTGGGAGCCCATTTCTTAATCTTTCACCATTTATTTGCATAGGTTATGGCCTACCTTGGATCAGGCCACAATCCACTGGTTGGGTCCCCAGACCCGCCAGTTGAAGTCTAGTGATGTATAGCATTGCATGGTGAATAAGTAAACAGATTCATTTAAACCTTTTACTACCCATTTATCTATTATTTCACCCAAGGGGAGGACATTTCAATTCCCTTCAATTACCCCCCCACCCCCCCGCTTCATGCAATCTATTTTTGTTGACTTCAAGTGCCATCTGAGAATTGTGTCTGACTTAATTAGTGGAGCTGTCTTCTTAAATTTTTAAAAGGCCCTTGGGTTGACTATTATGGAGAACTGCGTGGTGAAGCCTCCGAGAGAGAAAAGAATAAAATCCAAGGTCGGCAAAGCTGACTTTGTAGGAAAACTTGAAGTAAGCAGTGCAAACTACGCAGCCTGAACAGCAGTGGTAATGCAGAGCAAGCTGTGCTCCTCAAGAAAGTTTGATTTGATTATTCCCACCAGTTGGCTTGTAATTTAATTTTCTGTGCAATTGGCCTACAATTTGCCCTGAAGGCAAAGCCGCCATATGATATCCAGTTGGGGAGATATAAACCTCCTAATAGTCAAAGGAAAGTCATATATAATATCAGAAGCACAAATGGAAAGACAGAGCCCTGGAGATAACAGGCTCATTAACATTGGGCTATAGTAAAAACCATGCCTATCTGGCTGCTTTAAACCTATTAAAAATCATTTATTCATTCACTGCATTTATACCCCATCTTTCCTCCCAAGCAGCTCAAGGCAGTGTACATAGTTCTCCCTATTTTTCCCCTCACAACAACCCTGTGAGGTAGGTTAAGCTGAGAGACTGTAACTCACCCAAGGTCACCCAGTGAGCATCATGACCTGTTGGGGCTTTGAACTCCCCTATCCCAGGTTTTAGTCCAACAATCTACCTACTACACCACACTGGCTCTAGTGATACTACAGTGGTACCTCGGGTTACATACGCTTCAGGTTACAGACTCTGCTAACCCAGAAATAGTACCTCGGGTTAAGAACTTTGCTTCAGGATGAGAACAGAAATCGTGCTCTGGCGGTACGGCAGCAGTGGGAGGCTCCATTAGCTAAAGTGGTGCTTCAGGTTAAGAACAGTTTCAGGTTAAGAACGGACCTCCGGAATGAATTAAGTTATTAACCCGAGGTACCACTGTACTGTAGTGTTTATCCTTGAAAAAAATGTGCCCATCGCCACTAGATGGAGCTCTACCTATCATGTTGGACACCAATTCCTTTTCTGCTTGGAATCACACAGTTGTATGTTTCTGTTACTCATATGTGATTTATATATTGCATGGTTTAATCTGCTTTGGTTGACCTACTGACCTCTAGACAGGTGCAAGCAGGATAGGAACAAAATGAGGAAATGCTGGGTCTTCCATCTCTCTGTTTCACCCGTTTGCTTTCTTCTCCTTATTAAAGCAGGTGATCTTTGTCAACAAGAGTGGCGCTGACAACAACTCATAAGAAGGAACCATTGCAGTGTAGGAACTGCCAGCCTTACGCCTGATCTCAAGTCAGCTACTTAGTGATAACACACTGGAGCAGCAGAGCCACAGTCACATTAATTCATCTAACAGCCAATGCCAAAGGCACTTCCAACAGGAAACACGAACAGGCCTTATGCCTCAAATGTTTCACACCTGGTTTTCATTAATATGATAAACTTGGTCCTGGGCTGTACCACTTCACAGGGGTAGGGATGTTCATGTGATTGAAAGCTCCTTCATTGCCCAAATTGGGGCTTGCAGTTGCTGTCAACTGGCTAATTGGCAACGCTTGTAAAGTACTGTTTAACTGCAAATCACAAAGGGAAGCAGACCACTTGGCTGCATTGCAATATCAGGTGATTGACAGGTGGGAAACCCCACCCAACTGTCAAAGTTGGCTCCCTGGCCAGTGCTGGAGGGGTGTGTGTGTGAAGGTAAGTTCTCTAAGCAGAACACAAAACTGTCTCTCTCTGCAATACCATCATTGCATACTCTCCAACATCTTTCCGGTGAAAATAGGGAGGTCCTACTCCATAATAACAGGGACGCGGGTGGCGCTGTGGGTAAAACCTCAGTGCCTAGGACTTGCCGATCGTATGGTCAGCGGTTCAAATCCCCGCGGCGGGGTGAGCTCCCGTCTTTCGGTCCCAGCTCCTGCCCACCTAGCAGTTCGAAAGCACGTCAAAGTGCAAGTAGATAAATAGGTACCGCTTTATAGCGGGAAGGTAAACAGCGTTTCCGTGTGCTGCGCTGGTGCTGGCTCGCCAGAGCAGCTTCGTCACACTGGCCACGTGACCCGGAAATGTATTCGGACAGCGCTGGCTCCCGGCCTCTTAAGTGAGATGAGCGCACAACCCTAGAGTCGGACACGACTGGCCCGTACGGGCAGGGGTACCTTTACCCTTTACTTACTCCATAATAATATTTTTTTTATTTATATTCCACCCATCTGATCATAATAAAACATTAAACATTAAAGAAACTTCCCTATACAGGGCTGCCTTCAGATGTCTTCTATAAGTTATATAGTTACTTATCTCCTTGGCTCAGGGGCCACATAACTCCTTACCTACCAACATTTCTCTGTTGAAAATAGAGACATCCTAAGGAAAAGTGGGAAATTCTGGGATAATAATTAATAATAATAGTAGTAATTTATTATTTGTACCCCGCCCATCTGGCTGAGTTTCCCCAGCCACTCTGGGCGGCTTCCAACAAAGATTAAAAATACATTAAAATGTCACTCATTAAAAACTTCCCTGAACAGAGCTGCCTTCAGATGTATTCTAAATGTCAGGTAGTTGTTTATCACTTTGACATCTGATGGGAGGGCATTCCACAGGGCGGGTGCCACTACCAAGAAGGCCCTCTGCTTGGTTCCCTGGGTGGCTTCTGTAAATCTGGGACTGCCCCTGGAAATTAGGGACAATTGGAGGAGCTGACATTAAGCTGTGGCCCATTGCAGTGATTTTCTTCATGAGACAGAATGGCAGCTATGTATCTAGGAGGGAGAAACTAAAGGAGTGCATAGGGGTAGCATAGCTCAGGTAGGAGCCAAAGGGGTTTTCTGTGCTACTAATCCCAGCCATTGAGAAGCAAGGTGGCTCTTCGGCCATAAGTCTGGACAGATGTGTGTGTGCATGTGTGTCCACACCATTCCCCCCCTTCTCTTTCTGATTTGCGGCCTTCAACTGCTGACCCCGTTCCACTTTGTGAGTTCATTTCGAGGGAGGAACATACGGTGCATTCAAGGCAGTTGACGAGAAGCAGGGACGGTCCAAGGATTCAGCACTGTTGCGCGAGCCTGGCGTGGCGAGAGAAAAGGTCAAGGGAGCCTCATTTGTATTCTGTTCTTGGAGCACAGCTAGAAGGGAGGCACATCAAAGAGAAAGCCAGGTCAGATTGTGGTTTTCTGCTGAAGTCACAGCAAAGGTTAAAGGTATTTCACGATTTCAGCCTCAGTTGGAAAGAGACGAACCCCAAATCTATGCCTTGCATCAGACTGAGCTGCAGCTTTGTGGTATTGCATCTGCATGAATGTGGAACGGCAAAAGGTGTATAGCTCCTTATGGAACACAGGTTCCATTTTATGGCCCATTGGTCCATGTAGCTTGTCTACACTGACTGGCAGAATCTCTCCAGGGTTTCAGACAGGGAATCTCTCCCAGGCCTGCCTGCAAATGCCAGAGAATGAACCTGGTGTTAAGTTGTGGGTGAACATATCAGACGACACAGCGATTCTTCAAACAGCTCTTGTTTATTCACAGGCCAGAACAGAACTGAACTGAAGGGTTCAGCCAGCCTGCTTATATAGAGCTCCACTAGAACGCAACAGTAACCATTTTCTGTAACTATCCAATCACTGAACGTCACTTTCGATCCCTTATTTGCATATGTGGACCTGAACTATCTACAGTATCCCACCTGCTGGCCCAGGGTGAGAACTTCAGTACATAACACCTGGGACCTTCTGCATGCAAGATCAATGCTCTGCCACTGAGCTACAGCCCTGCCCCCTAATGTCCCTTGAAAATGCATACAAAAAGCAGCATACTGCACTACTCATGGTGCTACCATTGGCCAAGATCAACGCACACACAGGCCATCTGCTTTGTTGACCATGTAGTGTGATGAGAAGTCCTGGAGAACTCAAAAGCTTGTGATATTTTGACTGCCCTAATA